GCCCCAGGAATAAAAAGTATTTTTTGGTTTTGTGTTTTATGGTTCCTTGAGCCAATAAAAATGCTTTACCTATGGTAAGCATACATAGGTATATATATAAATATATCCATAAATGAAATCTTTCTAGGAGATGCACATATCTCTTCTGTATATTAAATCTTTATTAGAAAACCAATAATGCAATTTACGATTTTGGATAAATCCGAATCGGCAGAAGCTAAGGTATTTCTCTGGCAGACCCATCCCTGCTTCTTCCTTTCACATTACCTTTTCCCCTAATACTAGTACTGCAGCAAGTGTTTGTCAACAAGGATCCAGATACGTAGTTGGTAACTGCTGGATACCTGATGGATAGATTAGTATTCTACCAGCATCAGAAAGGAGTAAGGAATATAATCAGGTTGGGAAAGAGCATGAAGGATATAAGTTGACCAGGATCTGGTTAACCTTTTAGTTGCCAGGGGAATATATTCTCAGCCTTAGCCTTATTGATTTGTGATCATTTACCACTGTGGAATACCCTTTGTTTTTGTAACTGTCTCTTCATTTGGCTCCCAAGTTACTGTAATTTCTTGACAACTATAGTTTCACTAGTCTTTTTTTTTTAAGATATTATTTATTTATTAGAGAGAGAAAAAGAGAGAGCATAAGCAGGGGGAGGGGCAGAGGCAGAGGGAGAAGCAGGCTCCCTGCTGAGCAGGGAGCCCGACGTAGGGCTGGATCCCAGAACCCTGGGATCATGACCTGAGTTGAAGGTCGATGCTTAACCGACTGAGCCACCCAGGCGCCACTCACCATTTTTTTTTTTTTAAGATTTTATTATTTATTTGACAGATTGACAGAGAGTGAGAGAGGGAACACAAGCAGGGGAAGTAGGAGAGGTAGAAGCAGGCTTCCTACTCAGCAGGAAGGCAGATGCTTAATGACTGAGCCACCCAGGCACCCTTCACCAGTCATTTTTGAAATGAAAGCATTTGTATGTGTGTTTATCAAAAATTTTAAATCTGTGATCCCTAATATTTAAGGATAACTCAGCACCTTTAAATATAAAAACAATATACCAGTTCTTGTTCTAACTTTACCTAGAAGTCTAGAAAACAGCTCTGAAATAGTTTTTAAAAATGCTATCTAGTTGCCCACACATTTTTTTTTTAAATATTTATTTATTTATTTGAGAGAGAGGCCATGTACAGTGGGGAGGGGGAGAGGGAGAGAGAAACTCCAAGCAGACTTCACACTGAGCAAAGAGCCTGACACAGAGCTCGATCTCAGGACTCTGAGATCACGACCTGAATTTGAAAGTTCACATGTAAAATATGATAAATTTCCAGAAGAATGTAGCTGATTTGGGGTGCATGGCTGGCTCAGTCAGTAGAGCATGCGACTCTTGGTTGTGAGTTCAAGCCCCATGCTGAATGTAGAGATTATTTTAGAAAATAAAATAAAAAAAAAAAAAATAGCTTATTCAAGAACTTTAAGAATTGAAGTCCATAACAAAAAACTAGTGGTTGAATCTACTCAGGAGATCAATTCTAAGCAGTGGTTTGCTAGAAGACTGAAGAGAGTGATTCAGCAGAAGCGATTGTTAACATCTGTAAATTGGGTTTTATTTAAAAGGAAATCTTGGTAAGAACTTTTATCTGCTGAGGAATGGCCACTTTAAACTTTCTTTCCACTTCATTAGTTCAGCTGTAATCTTTTTAGGCCCCATGGTTAACAGGATTACTCTGTAAGTCTCCGAAATTTTAAAGTTATTGATGAAGGTTTTATTTCTTGCTATTTTTTATCTTTATGACTTAGTTGATCAGGTACTGCAACATGTTGGAGATATCCAAAGGGTTCCCACCTTTAATTCACACCCTTCAGTAACAGACAACATAAAGTTGGGATAGAAAGAAAGTTCAGAAGTTTCACCTTGGGACCCATTTGGTTATGTCCACCTATTAATTACTCACTGTTGTGCTCCTGTGGACAAAGATAAATTGATAACATTCCTATGAAAATGGTAGTTGATGTTGATCTTTGTCTTCTCCCAACTTTAGTTATTTTTAGTGGTCTTAACTTCCTGGGATATAGAAATCATTTGGGGCATTTATTAAATTATCAGTAATATAAGCAGCTACTATTTTTTGAGTATTTACTATGTACCAGGCACTGTGGTGAATGTTTTCCCCACAAGGACTTACTTACTTCTCACACTGGCTGTATGGTTTTCATCTTATTCTCATTTTATAGATGGAGAAATAAGTAAGAACAATTTAAAGTCACACAGGTGCTAAGGATCAGAGGCAAGATTCAGCCCCAGGTCTTTTTAAGTCTAAAGCCCAGACTTTTGTCCTCTGAGTTCAACTACTCAGCCCAATAAATGATGAAATATTAATGGCTATAAAATCTATTGAGCATTTACTATATGCCAGGCACTATTCTCAGCGTTTTACATGTAGTATCTTGTTTGAGCTTCACGACAACCTGTGAGGTGGATATGTCCATTTCACAGATAAACTGTTTTGCCCAAGGTCACGTAGCTGCTAGATGGCAGTCCCTGAACTCTTACCATGTTAACCTCATTAATAGCAACCATTTATTGAATGCTTAACAACATGCAAGCTTTGTGCTAGGATTTTTCATTTAATTTCATTTAATCTTCACATCAACCCTTTGTATTGTGTTGAAATATATACACATATCACTATTCAAATAGTAAACACTTCATAAAATAACAGCTATTAATGCTTCTTGATGTCAGATGGGTTGGTTAGTGTATACAGATATTGAAGTATTTCACTAGTACATGAGAGAAATTTTGATGCTTAATGCTACTTTTCACAGTGAAATTTTTTTCTTATTTAAATTTTTTATTTTTGGTAGTCTCAAGGTCGATATGAGATTATGCTGAGTTTGCAAAATATATTGAATGGACTAGGAGCTGCTGCTACACCTTGCCACAGGGATGTTTATAAAGCTGCTAAATCCTGCTTAACAGATAGATCCATGGCTGTTCGTTGTGCTGCTGCAAAGGTAAAATGGTCTAATAAATAGAATTTCTCAAAATAAATACAAAGAAAATTAAATTAGTATCCCTGTTAACAACTACGTGATCTCAGAGCTACAACCTTGGAAATCAGCCCATCTTATTTTAGCATAGGAGGAAGCTGAGGTCCAGAGAGTTATATAAATTCCCAGGGTTCTTCAGATAGTTCACAGAATATTGTTGGAGGGTGGGGAATTCAGGTTACCATAACTCTTAAGTATTCCTTTCACTCTACTGTGCTTCCTCTCTATAGTTTTGTAAACTAAAGTTTACATGTAAAGTTTATGCTATTTGAAAGTGATTTGTTTTTATCATGCCTTCTTTTTTTTTAAGTCTAGGATTAGATTTTGGTATTTTAATTTCTTTTGAATATGTCACTTTTTAACTTTTTTTCTTTAAATTTTTTAGTTATGTTAATCACCATACATTACATCATTAGTTTTTGATGTGTAGTGTTCCATGATTCATTGTTTGTGCATAACACCCAGTGCTCCATGCAGAACTTTAATACCCATCACCAGGCTAACCCATCCCCCCACCCCCCTCCCCTCTAGAACCCTCAGTTTGTTTTTCAGAGTCCATCATCTCTGAATATGTCACTTTTTGAAAGCTAGGAAACAGAATCAAAATAAGGCAGTTTAGTCCTCTGCAGATCTAGGTCAAGTCTTGTGATCTTCAGCAGAATTATGGTTTCTTAATACAGTTGGTCAGATAGGATAGTAAAGTTGTTTATGTTGTAATTATTCTCACAATTGCTCATAGCCAACAGATTGGTTCTTAAGACGTTTTTCCTAGCCTACTGAGTTACAATGGGTTCTCCTTCCATCCTCTGTGGACACATTGTTTTATACAGTATAATTTTTATGACTTTTAGCAAGTATTCATTTGTTGTCTCTGCAGTCATTGTTTAGATACTTTGGATTTGTATATAATTTTTTTGGATCTTGATAGTTTCTACAACTTAAATAGATCTGAACCTGACATTTATATTTTGTTTTTCATTAATGTCTGTTTTTTCAATTAAATAGTGTCTCCTTGAACTTCAGAAAGAGGCCATCTTTATGTGGAGTACAGACCTGGATAGTGTGGCCACACTATGTTTTAAGTCCTTTGCAGGTTCCAATTATGATGTGCGGATTTCAGTTTCAAAGCTACTAGGCACAGTGTTGGCTAAAGCTATAATTTCTAAACATCCAGGAGCAGGTAAATTTATATAATTATTTTCAAAATGTCTATTGTAATTTTTTCCCAGTTGGTTTAAACAAATATAATGTGGTATTACTACTACCCATTATTAATTGTGAAAAGAGGCAGGATATTTTAAAAATCAATTTCAGTTTGTAAACATTGCTTTAGGTCCCAAAAGTTCATTTTCAAACAATTCAGTAAACATTTGAGGAAAAAAACAAACTCTTGAAGAAATGTCCTTTATTCAGTCATCGTCTTTACTTTATGGCCTTTACTTTTTTTTTAAGTAAATTGTTAATTGTTATCCAATAATAGATATGATCTAAATCTTAATTCTTTTTTAAGCAACGTGAATTTGATTACCTATATTCGGCTTGCCATTTTCTAGGTTGGTATAAGGGAGCAATGATGTAAATAATTCCAAACAACAGGTATTTGAAATTCACTGTACTTAGACAATTTGCTTTGTGTTACTTTTTATTTATATGCTTCTAGGCAATGAGCAGGGATGGGGTATTTTTGAAAACAAGAGAGTTTGCCTGGGTTTAATCAACAGTGTATGTAAAACATTGATGAGTAACTGAAAACTTGCTTTATCATTCTGTCTCGAAAGAATAAACAATCACACAAATGCAAATGTGTTCTATAGAAACTTACTCCTCAAACATCTGCAGATCAGGAGTACTAGCATCACCTGGGAGCTTGTAAGAAATGCAGAAACCCAAGCCAAACACAACTTACTAAATCCAAATTCTCATTTGAACAAGATCTCCAGACAATTTGTATGCACATTAAAGTTTGAGAAGCATTGCTGGAGAAATTGTTTATAGTTATATAAAGGGAAATTTTTTTCTAAAGCCAATGTTTTTTAACCATTGATGGGAAAGGACAGGAAGTACAGCATGTCACAGTCACCTGGGGGACATTATCAAACTTACAGTTCCCTCATTCTCCAGTTGAGATTGTAAATAAAATTCATAATAAGGAAGTTTTATTTTTATTACGGCGTTTCTAATCTTATAATTCAGTAAGGCTGTCTTATTTATAGGGAGGTGAGGGAAAGGTGAATGGGAACAGGAAGAAGACACCAAAAAACCCAAACCAAAAAAAAAGTTGTTCAGGACATTTAGCCACCTAAGAAATTGAAATTGGAAGACATGTTTATTGTTTATTTTTTAAAGATTTTATGTATTTGACAGAGAGAGTGGGAGAGAACACAAGCAGGGGTAGCAACAGAGGGTGGGGGGAAGCAGGCTGCCTGCTGAGCAGGGAGCCCAATACAGGGCTCCATCCCAGGATCACGACCTGAGCCAAAGGCAGCCGCTTAACTGACTGAGCCACCCAGGCAGTTTCAGTAAAAACAAGCAAAGTGTAGAATTGCATAAGAATTATGAATAAATATTTTAATGGGTATGCTTCGATGGTAGCACTAAACTGATACTAGTGTTTTTGTAATCAGACTAAGCAAAGTGAAGAATCAACTTCACCCACAATAAAAATCCTTGGCCTAATCTTTTGTTAGAAATTCTATCATCTTGCCTCTGTAAGTTTTAGCTTACAAATAAACTGAGTTATTTTTGTACAACTAAAAAGTGATCTAGATACCATAATAGATTTTTTTAAGGTCAAGGACTAATAGCAACATAGTGCTTAATAATTTAGAAAACAAATGCAGTGGAGGTTTGTATACTCAACTACAATATGCAAAGATTATGAAGTACAGAGCTGAAATGATTTTCCTAGTAAAACTAACAGGTTTCAGGCAGGTGGTAGGTTATTCCAAGGCACTTAAAAAGCAGGGATTGAGGGGCACCTGGGTGGCTCAGTCGGTTAAACGGCTGCCTTCAGCTCAGGTCATGATCCCGGGGTCCTGGTCAGTGGGGAGCCTGTTTCTCCCTTCCTACTCCCCCTCCCCCTACTCGTGTGCTCTAAATAAATAAATAAATAAATAAAATTTTTTAAAAAGGGATTGAGTATGACACTTTCTTATCATTGGAACAAGTTGTGGGGAATTTATGGTGATCTTTTAATATATATAATTTAATATATATCATTCTCTCACTTGCTCAAGGATATTGCTCTAGGAAGTCTCCCCTCTCCTATACCAGTTTTTCCCTCTCTATTGGATTATTACCTACAAAAACATGCTTTTATTTCTCCCATCTAAAAAAATTCTGGGGTGCCTGGGTGGCTCAGTCGTTAAGCATCTGCCTTTGGCTCGGGTCATGGTCCCAGGGTCCTGGGATCGAGCCCCGCATCGGGCTCCCTGCTCCACGGAAGGCCTGCTTCTCCCTCTCCCACTCCCCCTGCTTGTGTTCCCTCTCTCACTGTGTCTCTCTCTGTCAAATAAATAAATAAAATCTTTAATAAATAAATAAATAAAAATAAAATTCTTGTATCTTCTTCCCAGCCAGTTGGAGCGCCATTTCTCTTCCTTTTGCATCAAAGTTCTTCAGGAGAGTTCTTGATAGTGTCTTTAGTTTCCCTCCTGCCGTATCTTTGAAACCCACTTCAGTTAGGATTTCCCCCCATTCATTCCACCAAAACTGTTTTGGTTAAGATCATCAAAGACCTCCATGTTTATTCATTCATTCATTCAATAAATACTTGTTTATACTTGGCTGGGATCTTTTGTGAGCACATGGGATATGTCATTGAACAAAAGAAAACCCCCGCCCTTTTTGAGCTGATGTTTATACTCAGCCATGCTAAAGCCAGTGGGTAGTTCTCAGTTGTCTCACTTGACCTTTCAGCAACATTTAACTCAGCTGATCCTCTTCCTTGTTTTTTTTCACTGGGCTTTATAGGACTTCATTCTCTCATTGTTTTCCTTCTTCCTCACTAGAAATTCCTGTTTCGTCTTCTCTGTTGATTCCTTATCTTTTTATAGAAGAGGCCCCTTGCCTAGTACTTGCTCTTTTGCAGTATGTGTATGCTCATCCTCTTGGTCATCTTACCTAGTCTCATGGCTTAAATACCATCTACATGTCAGGGATTATTGGATCTCTATTTTTAGCCTGGGCACCAGGCTCAGATCTAGCTTCCCGTTTGACATCTCTTTCGATGTTTATTTGATGTTTCAAATGAACTTCTAAAGTGAATACCTGATCTCTCCTCCTCTAGAACATTCACACACCTGTTCTACTTGCAGGCTTGCTAATCTCAGTTGATGCCAACTCTGTCCTTCCAAGTGTTCAAATCAAAATTTGTAAAGTCACCCATGATTCTTAGCTCTCACACTCAATAGCTTCTCTACTGGGCAATCTTAAAACATACCCAGAATGAGGACCCCTTGGAGAATTGGCTAATTTGGGGGTTGGTGAAGGAAATGTCTGAAGATGACCTTGGAACATACTGTTGTGTCAAAAAAAGTTAAGTCCTCCCACTGGCCAGCTCTTTGAAGATAATTCCATTGGTCAAATCCAGGACAATATTGGAAGCAAAATTAATAATGACAAATGGATTATAACCTATTAAATAAAGAAATCTATGTGTGCATACTGAAAATAAGTAAATAAAGGAGAAGGGAAAGCTCTTTTTTACAGTAGAATGCCAACTAATAAATACAGAAGGAATGATTGTTAGATAATGACCTTTTTGCAGTTATAGTAATAATTATTGCAGGTAGGAATGCTCAGTGCATTGTTGGATGAAAGTTTGATAGGTTACAGCATATTTATACTGTCATCATACAGGTTGCATAGTAATTACAAAAGGAAAGTTGATATTTTACAGTGGACAAACCTGGCAGACAAACCTTATTCAAGTGTTCAAGGATCATAACACTAATGTAGGGACAGACTGACCTGATAGTGCATACTGATGTTACGCATTGAGAAGGCTTACAGCATTGCTTACATAGTTCTCCTGCCAAAAATTTTGAGGAAATACTAAACAAACTCAAATTGAGTGCTGTTGTATAAAACAACTAGCCATAAACAAACTCTTCAAAAATGAAAAAGTGATAAAGAGAATATGGTGAGTCTAGGTGAAGGGTACATGGGAGTTTATTTTACTATTCTTGCAGCTCTTTTTATAATTAATTTTGAAAATTTTTCAAATAAAAACTTAAAAATACATGTTTATCCAGACTCCACTCTTCTGCAACCACCTTCATCTAAGCCACCATCATCTCTTGCTTCAATTACTAAATTGCTTCTAGTTGGTATCCCTACTTCTCCCTTTGCCCCCTTCTACAGTCTTCTCTCTGCACAGAAGCAAAGTGACAGATTATATCACTCCTCTGCTCAGCGTCCTTCATTGGCACCTCATTTCACTTACATCCTTACTGTAATGATCTACAAAGACCAGTGCCTTCTCTTCCCCCATCTTTACACTCTGGCCTGTCCCTTACTAAAGTCCTCCATTGCTCTGTTCACATAACTCTAAACCCAGTAGGCATCATATTCTTCCTCAAGGCCTTTTTGTCCTAGATATTTCCTCTGCCTAGAACACTTTTTCTCCATATATCTGCATGCCTGATTCCCTCACTGTCCTCAAACTATGTTCAGGTGTCACCTTTCCAATGAATCTTACCTTGACTACCCTATTTAAAATCACAAACACTTCCCCCGTATTCCTGAGCCTGAGCTGCTCTATTTTTTGCAGGCTTTAATCATTGTCTAGCATAGTCTATACTTAGTCATTTATTATGTTTATTATTCTTTCCTTCCTAGAATTTATGATTCATGAAGGCATGGATTTTATACTGTTCACTAATGTTTTTCTTCCAAACACCAACATAGATTTTCATTTGTTTCAGATGGTTATTTCCTCTTTATGCTGAGGAGTAGATTTTTTGTTCATAATTTTGATTAATGGAAGTTTATTTCTCTACTGTGTGTGACTTGAGCCAATAATAAGGGTCAGAGCTCTTGACCATCATTATTCAGAAGAATGAAAGGGAGAAAGGTATATGTGTGTGTGTGTGTGTGTTTTAAGAGATCTTGTTCCCTAGATATTCACAGGGAGAAACTCAACTGTGTCATACTGCAAACAGACATGAAGACACATTCTGCCCTAACTAATCTCTTGATTATTGTAGCCTAAGGGCCAACTGATCAGTTTAGTAATATTTTGCTTTGATTTCTTCAGAGACTGAGGATATAACAAAAGTACCTGCAGTTGAGAATTTTAAAAAATAGGATATGGTGGTTACTTTATATAAGTTTCATTAAAAGTTGTAGAGCACTTGGAAATGTAAAATTATGATTTTGGCATTTTTAGTATTTAAAAAGAATTTTTAAAGCATTTTAAACTCTTAAAGCTATAAGCATTTTCATTTGTGGAGAGCAGGGGCAGTTAATGTTTTTTGTTTTAGAAGACGGTTAGCCTACGGTGCCTGGGTGGCTCATTTGGCTAAGCGTCTGCCTTTGGCTCAGGTCCTGATCTCAGGGTCCTGGGAAGTCTTCTCCCTCTCCCTCTGCCACCCCCCCCCCCGCTCATGCTCTCTCAAATAAATAAAAAAATTTAAAAATTTAAAAAAAAAAGGAGGTTAGCCTTCTACTGTGGAAAAGAGGGCAATAGGGGCACCCTATCCGGTTCAGGTCATAATCCCAGGGTGTTGGGATCAAGCCCTGCATTGGGCTCCCTGCTCAGCAAGGAGCCTGCTTCTCCCTCTCCCTCTGCCTGCTGCTCCTCCTGCTTATACTCTCTCTCTCTGTCAAATAATAAAATCTATTTTAAAAAAAAGGACAATAAGGCATAATCCTGAAGTAGCTTAATCTTAAAATGTCATTGACATCATACTTCAGGGTCCATTATGATTTGACCTCTGAACCCTTGCATAATTTTTTGTTAATGTGTGTAATGTCCTGTCAATTTTGCATTTTGTTTGGATTTTTAGTTTATTTTTGTTTCTATTAATGTGCTTACCAAGATCATGCAAATCAAGGTCATGCATTAAAATTTTAGTCTCTGTAAAGTACGAATCACTTGTTTTGTTTTGTTCTTTGTTATAGCAGTCTCACGTCAAAGCATTCGCAGAGTATCTCTGGAGGAAGTTCTGGAATTACTAGGAACAGGGTTTCTACGTGGGAGTTCAGGATTTCTTCGAGCCAGTGGAGATATGCTGAAAGGAACCAGTTCAGTCAGTAGGGACGTTCGAGTTGGAGTTACTCAGGTTAGAGTCACAAATGAGTATCTACGTGTAATACTCACTGGCCTGTAATGAGAATTTTAGTATCTGAATACTCTGGGCATAAGTGATACTGTGCAGGGTCATCACTTCTGCTCTCATATTTATAAAACAGATGGTAAGGCCACTCTTTGAAAGTTAGGTTACAAGTAAGAGAACCTTAGTTACCTAAAAGCGAATGAAATAGGCTATTACTCACAATGTGTTTTAAGTTGCTAATAATGGGAAATTTTTGTTTATTTCCTTTGAAATACAAACATTTGTTTCTAGGCCTTGTGCTTTCATGTGTCTTACAGTTTAACATGTTTTCCATTGTGCTTTTGTGTGCTTGTACAGTTCAGATTTAAGGTACATATTAGGTACATATCATTCAGTATGGGAAATACTGTATTTCCATTTTAATATGGTTTCAACTCCTAAGTAAAGATCATAGCATATAATCTAAGCTAAACCTAGGAAAAGTATCTTAGAATAAAACAACACAGAGGTCTCTATTGTTTTCTAAATGTCATTGTGGTTCAAAGCAAATGTGTATTTTTTTAAATTCACATGTGTTCTCAAGATGTTTTATACAATATACAGATAATAGATTTCTTCAAAATATAAGATGTGCCAGTGTAATTGTAAACTGTATTTCTAAAAGAACAGATTACATAAGGAAACTACTGTCTTTGTATCTCTGGAGTGAGACCAACGATTAACATTCATGAAAAGAAAAAGCAATGATTCATCACTGTAAAGTTTCCTTTCACATTTCTAGAACTCAGTTCCCTTAGAGTTACGGTGTTGGAACATACTTAATTCTTACAGTGTGTTCATGTTCATTTTGGGTTTTCTTGTTCAGAATATTAAAGAGCGTGAGTCCTTTGTTTGGAGGAGCCATAGACACAGTCTCCATATTAGCTGGCTATGCTGGTTATCCTGAAACTTGGTATAGTCTGACCAAAATAAAAATGCAGCACAAATGAAATCCCAGTTGAAAGACTGTGTACTTCAGTTTGGGCTTAATACAGACAGAAGAATACTATTACATTTATATAGTTGAAGCAGCAATAAATGAGGAAAGAATAAAAAGAAACAAATTTTGTATATTTCATGGAAGAGAAAATAATTCATTTCATTCAATGAAATTATTTCATTTTGAAGATAAAACTCTTTTCTTTTTTAGGCTTATGTGGTATTTGTTTCAACATTAGGAGGAACATGGCTGGAGAAAAATTTTGCTGCCTTTCTTTCTCATATCCTAAGCCTTGTGTCACAGTCACACCCTAAAGCCACCCAAACTCAGACTGATGCTGTCTGCGGTCGCCGTTGTGTTTCATTTATCCTTCGAGCTACTATAGGAGGTCTTCTTGGAGAAAAGGCTCAAATTGCTGCTGCCAAGGATATTTGCCAGGCTATCTGGAAGTTGAAGAAAGTTGTGGGTATGGATCTACTAAGACAGTCTGTTTTAATAATGCTGAAGGAATTCTCCTTTTGGAAAAGCTAGACTGGTATATATTACTATATTAATACAAAAAAACACTTTTGAAATAGATGTCAGTTGTTTTAGGGTAAAGTTGTCAATACATAGATGAGACATAAACTGTCTAACATATAACTATCATGTATATATATATACAAGTCTTAAAGGCTGGTGATAATAATTCCTCAGAATTCATAATTTTCCTCTAGAGGTTGATACAATGTTTTCAGAACAATCAGTTAATCTCAGGGGCACCTGGGTGGCACAGCCGGTTAAGCATCCGACTCTTGATTTTGGCAAAGGTCATGATCTCAGGGTTGTGAGATCAAGCGCGGCATCAGGCTTCTCACTGGGCTGGGTGTGGTGCCTGCTTAAGATTCTCTCTCCCTTTCGCTCTGCCCCTCCCCCCCTTAAAAAAAAAGAAAAAACCAATCAGTTCATTCCAGTTCCTGTACTATTTTAAGTGCACTCTGTTTATCTTATGTACCAATGAAATTGGAATATTTTTTAGTTTTCTATGCATTCTTCCTTTCAGTGCCACTTGTAATCGTAATTAAGGGATTGATGGTCAGGTTACTTGAACTAAATTGGTTGTGTTAGTTCAATTCTTTCTCGATTGATGCAAGTCCCCATTGTAGTATTTCCGTTAACTGCCTTAAGTGTTTCATGTATAGAGAGAGAAGGTATTAATTTTTGCCTTTATATTTTATGCTCCTTTTTTTTTTTTAAAAAAAGATTTTATTTATTTACTCGACAGAGAGAGAGAGAGCACAAGTAGGCAGAGTGGCAAGCAGAGGGAGAGGGAGAAGTAGGCTCTCCACTGAGCAGGGAGCCAGACGTGGGGCTCGATCCCAGGACCCCGGGATCATGACCTAAGCCGAAGGCAGCCGCTTAACCAACTGAGCCAGCCAGGCGCCCCATGTTTTCTGCTCCTAACACCTACCGCCTATAATATATTATAATAAAACACTTGACAAGTAGTTAAATCTTATGCTTCTATCAGATGCCGTGATGAATGATGGTAATGTGGAAACCCGGGTTGGCTCCACAGATGCAACAGCCAGCCAGCATATGCTGGTGTGTGCTTTACAAGAGCTTGGAAATCTCTTATACAGTCTTGGCACCACAGCTGCACCTTTACTGCAGGATTCAAGTGCAGGTATCTGTTGTTCGTGACTTGTCTGAATACCTTGTTTTTACTTATTCTAGACAACTTTTTTCTGAGGAAACAAGTCTTTCTCATATAACTCATTTATTATAGATTCCTCTATAGATTTGTTAGAGATGTTTTATGATATAAATATAATCAGGATTATTAAGAATATGTGTATATTTTAGTTTTTTCTTTTATACAGGTTGTTCACTAAGTCACCCTCTAGTCCTCCCTTTCTGGAAATATTTAAGATAACATGGAAAAAAAGAAAAGCAAACCTGAACTCTTGTCTCTCATCTGCAGTGAAAACATTAATTTCTATATGATACAAGTAATTCACTTCCTCAAAGGTCCTTTCAAGCAGTCTCCATTTTCTTTCTCTTGGAAAATTAATCACTTTGAGAGATAATTCACATACCAAAAAGTTCACCCTCCCTATTTCCCCTTCCCCCAGCCCCCGATAACTACTAATATATTTCCTGTCTCTATGGATTTGCCTATTATGGACATTTCATATAAATGGAATCATACAATATGTGTCTTTTATTTAATCATTATAAAAAATCAGTTTTGATGGCTTTTGTCCTTTAACTGTGGTACGTATTTCCTGCTGACCGAAGCTGGCATTATATTTGGTTTGTAAGCTCTTTATCCCATATAATTTAGCAGCCAACATGAACTGTTACATATTTTGATGAAGTTGTATTACAGCAAATACAGACTTTTACTCTTACTGGTATTGGTACTCCATTGTCTTCATAATTGGTTAGTAGCCCATTGAGGACCTAGCAAAGCCTCAATTTTGTTCAACATTTTGTTCTCAGGCAAGTGTTATGGTGCATAGGAAGCATACTAATTATGTAGATAAATGTGCCAAAAGGGATTTTTTTAAAAAGAGGATGGAGCATAGTGTGACATTTCTTTTTAAGGTGTTTTTGTTATATATTGATAATTTTTAATTCCTAGTACCAAATGAATAATGGTCTGAAGATAAAAAAGCAGAACATTAGCTTATTTAGGAAATAAAATTTTTCTTTTGTGTATTAATTTAAATCATTTTTCATATTAGAAGTAATTTTTTTTTAAGATTTTATTTATTTATTTATTTATTTATTTATTTATTTATTTATTTGACAGAGAGAGACACAGCGAGAGAGGGAACACAAGCAGGGGGAGTGGGAGAGAAAGAAGCAGGCTTCCTGCGGAGCAGGGAGCCTGATGCGGGGCTTGATCCCAGGACCCTGGGATCATGACCTGAACTGAAGGCAGACGCTTAACGACTGAGCCACCCAGGCGCCCCTAGAAGTAATTCTTGCATCTAAAAACCATTTAGGGGCGCCTGGGTGGCTCAGTTGGTTAAGCAGCTGACTCTTGACTTTGGCTCAGGTCATGATATCAGGGTCCTGAGTTCAAGCCCCATGTTGGGCTCCACACCAGGTGTGGAGCCTACTTTTTAAAAAAAAATCATTTATAATTATGTATCTTTTTAAATCTTGTTTCTATTCTGATTTGGCTTTTGATAAAGATAATATATTTTATATCCATGTGGCTGCTTATTCTTTTGACTACTTTTGGCTAAGTGAATTTATCCGTAGAGCTAAGTCTTTTTTTGTTTTTTTTCTTCTGTCATTCTAGGTATTCTTGACAGTGTCATTTCAGTTATTCAGCATCCTAGCATTTCTGTTCGACTAGCAGCAGCTTGGTGTTTACACTGCATTGCTGTGGCATTACCTTCTTACCTAACACCTCTTTTAGACCGTTGCCTGGAACGGCTTACTATACTTAAGTCTTCACCTGAAGCAGTGACTGGCTTTAGTTTTGCTGTGGCAGCTTTGTTGGGAGCAGTGAAACATTGTCCTTTAGGAATTCCTCATGGAAAGGGCAAGGTAATGATTTCATTCTTCACATATGATAATGACATTTCAATTTTTTTCTAAAAACATAATTGTCTTCGTGTTTATCACCCAGTCAAAGCCATGCAGGACAACTTTCTGAGAAAGCGGCTATATTAATTTTTAAATATTATGAAATAATTGCTGTAACAAAGGGATAGTTAAAAGTGTCTTATCTACACTTAAACGGGAATGTTTTCTGTGCTTTTTATTGGAAATATCTCCATTTAGTAACAGTTTGTACCTGGAGGCTTTATTTTGCTATATAATTAGCTCTGGCATAGAAGTGCATTTAAAATTGCATTATAGGGGCGCCTGGCTGGCTCAGTTGGAAGAGCATGCAACTCTTGATCTTGGGTTGTGGAGTTTGAGCCCACATTGGGTGTAGAGATTATGTTTAAAAATGAATAAATTAATAAATAAAAATTAAAAATAAAATTGTATTATAAAAAAATAAAATAGCATTGTAGAGGACAGAGCTGCAAAGAGCTGTAGCTATAAAATCAAGAACATTAAGTAAAAGCCCCATATGTTACATTTGAATGGAAAATATCACTGTGGGGGCGCCTGGGTGGCTCAGTCGGTTAAGCATCTACCTTCGGCTCAGGTCATGATCCCAGGGTCCTGGGATCGAGTCCTAAGTCGGGCTCCCTGCTTAGTGGGGAACGTGCTTCTCCCTCTGCCTGCTGCTCCCCCTGCTTGTGCTCTCCCTGTCAAATGAATAAAATCTTAAAAAAAAAAAAAAAACTTAAATCCTCAACTTTGTCCAGTGACAAGACCTAAAGCAGTGACAACCTGGTAGCAAGGAAAAGCCCTAGCACCCAGATTATGGCTCTAAACATCATTTTAGCAAAAGGCAATCAGGGCTCCATGAAGGAATGGCTGGTTCCAGATCTGGGGCAGGAAAGGCACAGTGTAAACCTGAAATACCTTGTCGTCGTGCCAGAGAACAAGAAAGTCATCAATGACTACTGTGTTCATTTTAAAAGGATACAGAAAGTAACTTAAGAGGCTCCCACTGACCAAAGTGGGATAATGTGTACCATCAAAAAAAGACAATGGCAACAGTGGATTGAATAACTAGGAATTTAGTTATCAGAGAATGTTGTTTGACAGTGAAAGCCTTTGTAACCTAGGCCTTACACACATATAAGTTCTTTTTTTAAGGTGTTATTTATTTATTTGAGAGAAAGTTGGGGGGGGGAGCTCAAGCATGAGTGGGGGGAGGGGCAGAGGGAGAGGGAGAAGCAGACTCCCTGCTGAGCAGGGACACACCTCCCCCACTCCCCTGCCAGATCATGACCTGAGCTGAAGGCAGATGCTCAACTGACTGAGCCACCCAGGCGCCCCCAAATACGTACTTAATGAATAAATCACCGTTCCTTGCTTTCTCATTGTCACTCATATGTCATTGTTAGTATTATATATCTGCCGTTTAACCTTTGCAGAAGAATGTACCATTACTTCAGAAGTTGTAAAACTATTTTGAGTATTGCCAATGTCACTTGAGTAAGGTGATTGACAACTAACATTCTGTCATATGTTTCTAAGCGAAGAATTGCCATTGCCTGTATTTAATTAAATTTAATATCCTCAGATCTTACTAGTTAGGCAGAAAGGATTGTTTTATTTTATCCTTGTTTTTATTGAGTGTTATCCATTGATTATATTGGCTTCAGGTAGTCCTAAGTTAGTAATAAGTTGGTTGTTTTAAAATACACTAGCCTTCCTGTTTAGAAAATTTATATGCCAACTTATAATACTTGCTCCTTTTCTAGAGGTGTTTGGTAACAGATGTTTTCTCAGACATAACAGATGCCTCTTGGCCTCTGTACTGTATAAGCATGCGTTATCCATAACGTATGAAATAATCTGGTTTTTCCTCTCTTGTTTTGCCTATTTCGTAGACTTAAAATATAATATTTATGAATCCCACTCTGTGAAATTCACTTCAATGTGAGACTATTTTAAGTACTTTTAATCTCTGTCGTATACTGCCTCTAGAAAGATTATCAGACACTCAGGTATCAAAAAGGTATGCAAATTTTTAAAAAGGGAGATTCCTATAAGGAAACTTTCTCTGGTAATTACAGATTTAAGATAAATGCTTAAAACTAAAAGTAAATTCAAGTTCTATGCACCTTGACTTGAACAGTTGTACAGTGTCATAATATGTACTCTACAAAGAATTACAAGGTTTCTGTATATAACCTAATATGCCAGTATTTAACCTAAACTTAACTTTTTTATAGTTTTCTCTATGATGTTGTCCTATGGCGTAGTCTACATGAATGAGAGTCCTTTATCACTTAACATTCGTTATATATAAGAGTTCATTTTTCAAGAGATTATTAGTTGCTCTCTTTTGTCCAGTAACCTATAAATTGATACGCTTCTTTACCTTATTCTTCCATATGTAAATAGATTATTATGACATTAGCGGAGGATTTGCTGTGTTCAGCTGTACAAAACAGTCGTCTTTCAGCTCAGCGCACACAAGCTGGATGGTTGTTGATTGCAGCCCTGATGACGTTAGGTAATAATAGTCTGTGGAAGGTTTACATGACTCTGAAGTACTTTGTTTTCTGAATGTAAAATACTGTAATGTATGATTTGAGGAGACTAATATTAATTGTACCAGAATTTATCCACACAAACATTTTTCTTCTAGCAGTCACCTTAGGAAGCCATATACTTACTCCATTCCTCAAAATATTTTCAGATCTCCTTATCTGAGATTCTCTTCAAAACCAATTTATGAGGGATGCCTGGGTGGCTCAGTCGGTTAAGTGTCTGCATTTGTCTCAGGTCATGATCCCAGGATCCTGGGATTAAGTCCCGCATCAGGCTCCTTGCTCAGTGAAGAGCCTCCTTCTCCCTCTCCCTCTGCCTGCTACTCTGCCTACTTGTGCTCTCTCTATCAAATAAATAAATAAAATCTTTAAAAAAAAAATAAAAAAAAACAAAACAATTTATGAGCCTTAGGTAGGATAGGCCAATTTGATTACTTTTCAGATTTAACTCTGAATGACTCTGACTTTTCCGAAAATCATTCACATCCATCTTCAGAAAAAAAAATTTCCACAATGAAGGGTAGGCAGGAGAACATACAATAGCCTGTGACTTCAGTTCTGTAATTGTTTTGAGAATTGGTAATATCAATAAGGTAGTCGAAGGGGATAGGGCTCACTAAATTATATTTATTGAAAATCAGTTATTATTTTGTAGTCATGACTATTGTATTTATATCCTATAACTTTGAGAACCAATTTTATTGCTTTATTAAAGTTATATTTTAAATCTATTTTATAATCATATCATTTATTGCCAAGATATAAAATTGACTGGATTTAACCAGTAAATCATTTTGACACCTCTGAAGTAATTTGATTTAAAAGGAGCTTAAATTAAAATAATCACAAATGAAGAACGACTGTAAATAATGTTTTTGGGATGATTAAGGAGGTTTATTGGACTATATCAGGGTTCAGCCTATGGGCCAAATTTGGCTTACCAACTCTTTTATACAGCCTCTGAGCTAAGAAGAGTTTTTACACTTTTTAATGGTTTAAAATTTGGACCCTGGCATACATTGTCATTTCACAAAGTGATGGGAAGGAATAATATGGCCAAGCCTTTATTTCCTTTTGGCTGGGTGTTTCATGCCTGCCATATTGATGATCTTGGTTAATTAAAGGAGAAAATAAACTAAATAAATGCAGTATTTCAAAGAATAAAATTTTTCAGAAAAAAGTAATTCCATCAGAAGAAGACTACAAGAAATCCCTTCTCTTTTAAAGAAAGAGATTAGGGGCACCTGGGTGGCTCAGTGGGTTAAGCATCTGACTTTGGCTCAGGTCATGTTTTCAGGGCCCTGGGATTGAGTCCTACAGCAGGCTCCCCACTCAGAGGGGAGTCTATTTCTCCCTTTTCCTTTGCCCCTCCCCCTGCACATGCAGGAGCTCTCCCTTCCTCTCTCTCAAATAAATAAAGTCTTTTTTAAAAAAAAAGATTAGTGGGTGCCTGGGTGGCTCAGTTGGTTAAGTGACTGCCTTCAGCTCATGTCATGATCCTGGAGTCCTGGGATCGAGTCCCACATCAGGCTCCCGGCTCAGCAGGGAGCCTGCTTCTCCCTCTGACCCTCTCCCCTCTCACGCTGTTTCTCTCTCTCGCAAATAAATAAATAAAATCTTTTTTTAAAAAAGATTAGTATATCATATTTTATTGTATGTTCATAATCAACATACAAAAAAGGATTAAAATTTTAAATTAATGTTTTGGGGCACCTGGGTGGCTCAGTCAATTAAGCATCTGACTCTTGGTTTTGGCTCAGGTTATGAACTCAGGGTCCTGAGATCGAGCCCTGTGTCGGGCTCCATGCTCAGCGTGGAGTCTGCTTGTCCCTCTCCCTGTACTTCTCCCTCCACTTACTCACTCTCTGGAATAAATAAATATTTTTTTAAAAAAATTAATGTTTTGGGGTGCCTGGGTGGTTCAGTCAGTTAAGCATCTGCCTTCAGCTAAGATCATGATCCTGGGGTCCTGGGATTGACCTCACATCGGGCTCCCTGCTCAGAGGGAAGCCTGCTTCTCCCTCTCCCACTCCCCCTGCTTGTGAGCCTTCTCTCCCTGTCTCTCTCTCTGTCAAATAAATAAAAATAAAATCTTAAGAAAAAGAAAATAACTTTGGGAGAAAAGCTTTGAGTTTTTTATACTTCCTAGTTTTTCTTTTTTCTTAACTGATAATGCTATCAAATAAAATACTGTCATTCTACGTTGCCTTTCATTACTGAGTTTGTATATTCATGATCTCTTAGTTCATAAATGTTACTGACCTGAAATCTTTTCTAAAAAAATTTCCAGGGGTGCCTGGGTGGCTCAGTCAGTTAAGCATCTGCCTTCGGCTCAGGTCATAATCTTGGGGTCTTGCAATCAAGTCCTGTGTTGGGTTCCCTGCTCAGCAGGAAGTCTGCTTCTCCCTCTCCCTCTGCCCCTTATGCATGCTCGTGCATGTATGCGCGCAGTCTCTCTCTCTCTCTCAAGTAAATAAGTAAATCTTAAAAAAAAAAAAAAAAGGAATACCATGGAGATGAGGCTGAGCTCTTAAAAAAAAAATTCCAATCAGATGTATCACATCTGATTTTTGGCCTGGAACAAGTTACTATCAACTTACTGAGTTTTAAAGAGTAACATTTTGGGTTCTTTATTAAGTGACAAGTTGAATAAATTACAGGTCCTGCGGTTGTCAGTCATCACCTTGGTCGAGTTCTGCTGTTGTGGAAGTGTGTCTTTCCAGTGTCTCCTAAAGATCTAGAAACAGAAAAAAGCCGGGGAGATTCATTTACATGGCAGGTAACCTTGGAAGGACGAGCTGGTGCGCTCTGTGGTAGGTAAAGCTTAGTCTTTTTTCTCCCTTTCCTTTGGCTTTTTCCCTCACTCCTTAACTTTCCCATATTAATATCTTTATTGGTGAAAATATTGTGATTTTTGTAATTGAACATAATTAGTAATTAGAACAGATACGCAATAAACCAAATTTTTTAGAATTCTGATCCTCAGGAAAATGCATGTTTTCTTAGATGTAATCTAGTTGAGAACCTCCAAGATTGCTTTGTCTTTAGTAGGCATTCATTCTTTTTTTAGAAATATTAGGCTTGGATTTAATTAGCATTGATTAAGTATGGTTTCCATTTAGTTTTTTATATATGAAAGTTGTACCCTTCTATAGTATATGAACCATTAAAAAATAGTATCTACCATGAATATTTGAACTAAGGAAGTGGTATTTTCTGGAAAGACATGGAAACATTGATTTTGGTTTTATTTGTTTATTCATGGCATTTTTACTCTTAAATAAAACAATTTTAAAATTAATCTTGAAACTCAGTCTAACTTTAAAATATTAAAATACATATTAAATAACTCCTTAAAAAATTAGACGATTCAGGTAACATCTGTAAGAACCTAACAATGCTGAATAAAATGTCATCATAGTTCTGCAGAATTAGTGTAGAACTGGCAAACTTAAGGTTCTAAGGTAATTTATTCTACTTCTGAGCTCAGGGGTTGAGTAAAACCCAGAAGGGCAGAATTTTGTTAACTTGGTTGTTGGGCTCTTTTAGTGATTCTAGAAACTGTTTTTTTACCTTGATTAGAGGTAAAAGACATTAGCTTCCTTTTTATGTGAGAGTTTCAAGATTTTTTTTTTTTTAGCACATTTATTCCTCTAATAAAAATACAAATGCTGTACCATTAATGAATGCTTTTTTTCATGGTTCATTACATTCTGCCAAGTAAAAAAGTCTGTTCTATTTTTCAGCTATCAAGAGTTTTGTTTCCCACTGTGGTGATCTCCTTACTGAGGAAGTAATTCAGCGTCTTCTTCCACCACTTCCTTGTGCTGTGGATTTGCTAACTCAGTAAGGATCTGCTATTTAGATTTGATAAAAATTTTTAATAGCAATCAGCTATCCTCTGATCATGTAATATCTGTTTAGTACATTAATAAGGCCAAGTTTCTAGGGTTGGTGAATGATTTTCCTTTTGCAGTCGAAAGCAAACAGTTATATGATTTTTTTTTTTTAGGCTAGGAACTTGAAAGAAAAATACATATTAAAAGGGAAGGAAAGTTACTTGGTGAATATTGTATCTTCCAAACAGTCAGATTTAACCAAGAAATTAAATATTAAGCCTGTTAACCTTTTCAGGTATGCGTTTTATTGGTTTGTTAGTGCTATTCTGTGTTCATAAGAACCAGATGCTTGTTAACAATTTTAGTTTTTTGTTGTTTTTATTTTTCATAAATTTGACTTATGTGATAAAAAAACATAGAGAAAATCCAATATATGTCATGAGTACTTGTAATTTCCAAATTAATGTATAGTTAAGTATTTAATGATACAAAATTTAGTGTATTAACAGAAAAATAAATCTAAAATATGGCTTATAAAGCATAATAAAATGAACACCTTTGAATCCAACACAACTAGAGCAGAGGTTAGCAGATGTTTGCTATAAAGGGCCAGATGGTAAACATCATAGGCTTCACAGGCCGTACAGTCTCTGTTGCATCTACTCAGCTCTGTTGTAGCTCAAAAGCAATCATAGATAATCTGTAAATGAGTAAATGTGGCTATGTTCCAGTAAAACTTGATTTACAAGAACAGGCAGTGGCCCAGATTTAGCTACCCTTAACAAGAACATTAACAATACTTTTGAAGTTATCTGTGAGTTCTTGTCTAATACCATTCTTTCCGCTTTACTCTAGAGGTGATCACTATCCTGATTTTTATGGTTGTCATTCCCTTGCATTTTTTTTTTAATTTGTTTCAGAGGTACAGGTCTGTGATTCATCAGTCTTACACAATTCACAGCACTCCCCATAGTACATACCCTCCCCAGTGTCCATCACCCAGCCACCCCATCCCTCCCACCCCCCTCCACTCCAGCAACCCTCAGTTTGTTTCCTGAGATTAAGAGTCTCTTATGGTTTGTCTCCCCCTCTGGTTTTATCTTGTTTCATTTTTCCCTCCCTTCCCCTATGATCCTCTGCCTTGTTTCTCAAATTCCTCATATCAGTGAGATCATATGATAATTGTCTTTCTCTGATTGACTTATTTCACTTAACATAGTACCCTCTAGTTCTGTCTACGTGGTTGCAAATGGCAAGATTTCAGGTTTTTGATGGCTGCATAATATTCCAGTGTGTGTGTGTGTGTACATATATATACACACACACATATATATACACATATATATACATACCTACATACACACCGCATCTTCTTTATCCATTCATCTGTTGATGGACATCTAGGCTCTTTCCATAGTTTACCTATTGTGGACATTGCTGCTATAAACATTGGGGTGCACGTGCCCCTTTGGATGTAGTGATCCCTTGCATCTTTAAAAAGTGCATTGCATATATGTTTCCCTGAAGAGTGCATTGTTTAGTTTTGCTTGGTTTTGATCAGGCAAATGGTATATTGTTTCTGAAACTTACTTTTTTACTCATCATTATGTTTGTAAACTTCATCTCTGAGTAAGTTTGTTCCTTTGTTTCGGTTGCTATATAGTATTTAATTGGGTGTGTATTTAGCAATTTACCTAGTTCTGTCATTGAAATATCCAAATTCTTGTATGTTTCTGTCAATAGTATATGTGAGTACCCTTTGAGCCACTTCTTCACTAACACTCAGACATTATTCCTAGCCCATCCAGTAGGTATAAATTGGTATCTCATCATGATTTTAATTTATATACTGATTCCTGATTGTCATTTTATATATTTATTATTCCTCAATATTTCCCCTTCTAAGAATTCCCTATTTGTGCATGTCTTTACCTATTTTTAGGTAAAATAGTTTTTTGAATTAACAGACATTCCTAACTTAAATATCAAATTTATCAGTCCTTTACTCTTTGGTTAGTACTTTCTGCCTTTTGGTTTAAAACAATCTTCAGTGGCGCCTGGGTGGCCCAGTTGGTTAAGCATCTGCCTTCTGCTCAGGTCATGATCTCAAGGTCCTGGAATTGAGTCCCACATCGGGCTCCCTGCTCAGTGTGTGGGGGGGGGGTGTCCTCCCTCTATCCCTCCCCCCTCACTCCTGCTCTTTCTCTCTGCCTCTCTCTCTCTCTCTCAAATAAATAAAATCTTAAAAAAAAATCTTCAGAGTTCTGAAAAATAGACTGGACCTGGTATTTTTGTTGTGGAAAATTTTTTTTATACTACATATTCCATTTCCTTAATTGTTCTGACTATTCAGGGTCTGGTTTAGGGGTTTGTTTTACTTGTTTATTAATTAGATTTTTTCCAATGATTTTCACAGTGCATCTTTATCTTCAAATTTTTTGGAGTAAAGTTCTTCATGGTATTATCTTCTTAATCTCTGCTATGTCTATAATGTCTCCTCCATTCCCATTAAGTTTTCATTTTGCCTTCCCTTTTGTTTTTCCTGATCCATCTCTTGAGTAATGTATTTATTTTATTAATCTATACAAAGAATGACTTAGTTTATATTGAATTTTTTTCCTTATTTATTGTTTATTATTCCTGTCTGCTCTCTTAAATGCTTATCTTTTTCTAACCCCTTAGTTCAAATGTTAAGCTCACTGTATTTCTCTTAATTCTCCTAATAGAGGCAAACCTACAAATTTCCTAAGGTTCCAGTTACTGAATCCTTAAAGTATTAATATGTATTGTTTTCATTTTTTCAGTTTTAAGTATTTTAAATTTTATTATAATTTCTTGGAGTTGTTTAGAAGTATGTTTATAAATTACTTTATGTATAGAATAGTTTTTAGTTTATAGTTAGTGATTTTTTACTTAATTGAATTGTATTTAATATGATTTGTATATTACCTATACTTTCACTTTTTTTTTTTAAGTTTATTTATTTAAGCAATCTCTACACCCAACATGGGGCTCAAACTCACAACTCCAAGATGAAGAGTTGCTTGCTCTACTGACTGAGCCAGCCAGGAACCCCTATTACCTGTCCTTTTAAATTTGTCAAGACTTACTGTATAACAAATGTATTTTGTTAAAAGTTCTGTGTTCCATCTATCTTCACTAATTTTTTATCTACTTAAGCTATCAGTAATTGAGAGGGATGTGTTCAACTCTTCCACTATGATGGTGGGTTTATAATTTTTTTCTATGGTTCTATTAATTTTTGCTTTTTCATATTTTGAGACTATTTAATTGGGTGCATAGGATTATAGAATTATATCCTCCTGGTGAATTGAATCTTTTATCATTACACAGTATACAGATAATTCTCTTTATCCTTAATAATGCTTTTTGATTAAAGTCTAATTTATGGATTATTAATATGTGTGTTATGTCTTTTTTCATGGCACTGTGTTTTTAGTTTTATCTCATAAACTGCGTATAGTTGTTTTTTTAAATTAAATTTTACAGTGTCTGTTTTAAACTGGCAATTTGTGGATTTCTCTATCCAACTTGTTATGTATTTTGTTGGTTTGTGTCTTTTAGTAGTTCTAAAAAAAAAATGGCTGTTATCTATTCAAATACTGTCATTTTCCATTCTTTTTAAACTTTTCTTTTGGGGTTCCAAATAGACAAATTTTAAATCTTTTCATTTTGTCTTCCATGTCTCCTCATCTTTTTCTAATATTTTTTCTCCTTTTTTTCTCTGCTACATTCTGGGCAATTTCTTCAGCTCTCTTTTCCAGTTCACAAATTCTCTTTTTAGCTGGGTTTAATCTCATATGCCTTCTCCTCTTCCAGGACTTGGGATCTGCCAAGTCTTAGGAACCCCCTCGAGAGATTTTATTTTGGGGCACCTGGGTGGCTCACTTGTTAGACATCTGCCTTCAACTCAGGTCATGATCCTGGGGTCCTGGGATCAAGGCCCGCATTGGGCTCCCTGCTCCGTGGGAAGCCTGCTTCTTCCTCTCCCACTCCCCCTGCTTGTGTTTCCTCTCTGTGTCTCTCTCTGTCAAATAAATAAATAAAATATTTTTAAAAAGAGATTTTTATTTTATCCACCCTTACCTTGCCATGAGCATAAACTCAGTACACATTCTTGTGTTGATATTGGTATTAGTGTTCCCACTCTGATTTTAGCTCATATTTTGTTTCATGCTTTTTATGTTTGTTTGTTGGAGGGGCATGGAGGTGTAGCCTAGGAGAAGTCCCTTTCTGCAAGCCTAGCAATGTAGATTATCTTTTATCTAGGATCTAAGTATATTTGTAGTTGAAGGGCCTTCAGAGACTCTGATGCACCCTCCTAATAGAAGCAGAAGCCACTAGCAATGTTTTCTTAAATTCTTATTTGTTTTGAATAAAATCTTACTTTTTGTAAGAAAAAAAATACATGCACACACACCCCTCTGAACTAAATTTTGTTGTATTTAAACCAGGTAAATATTGTGGAATTTTTAAAAATATAATTCATAACTTCTTAACATCTTGTTAATATGATTGAAATTGTTTTTATATGTCATCTGTAATTTTCTCATTTGGTTTTGGAGAAATACAAAAATGTAGTGGATTTATTCTTCCATAACTAAAAAAATTCTACCTAGGTTTTAGAAATGTTTTCTTTATGTTGTTGACTGTACTGAATGATATAAACTGGTACCAACTTTTTAAAACTACGGTGACAACTCAAAAATTAACTCATTTCTGGGGCACCTGGGTGGCTTGGTCGTTAAGCGTCTGCCTTCGGCTCAGGTCATGATCTCAGGGTCCTGGGATCAAGCCCCACATCCGACTCCCTGCTCCGTGGGAGGCCTGCTTCTCCCTCTCCAAATCCCCCCTGCTTGTGTTCCCTCTCCCGCTGTGTCTCTGTCAAATAAATAAATAAAATCTTTAAAAAAAAATTAACTCATTTCTTCTAGAAACCAGAAATAATAAGTATTAGTTTCCCAGAAAATACAAATGAATAAAAACTGCCAGAATTACCTGGAAACCTCATGCTGTGACAATTTAGTGGATTTATTCCACTGGCACACTAAAGTAATTACACTGTATTTCTGTGTTGCTAAAACGATGGAGACCATATTCCATTTGATAACATGGTACCTTGCAAAGAGCAGTACTCCTTTAATATTTGTTAGACAAGTGAACATCAGTAAAATGATGCCTTTGTACCAGTAGTGGTAATGAACAAAAGATTAAAAAGTACATGAAAGTGAAAGAAATAAAAGATTTTGTGATTGAAACTTTTAGGGAAACATTGGCTTGACTTGTATGCTTTATTAAAAATGAATTTGGGGGTGCCTGGGTAGTTCAGTCAGTTAGGCATCTGCCTTCAGCTCAGGTCATGATCCCAGGGATTGAGCCCCACATGAGGTTCCCTGCTCTGCGGGGAGTCTGCTTTTTCCTCTGCCCCTCCCCCTGCTCATGCTCTCTCTCTCTCTCTCTCTTTCTCTCTGTCAAATGAATAAATTATTTTTAAAAATTAAAAAAGAATAAAAGAGAACTTGTTTTATGATCTTTGCATATTTTGATGCTTTTTTTTCCTATTTGGTGATGGTATTCCAGATCAAGTTTCAAACAAAAACTTGGATTTTACCTGCATATTTATGTTTCCTGTTTGTTCCCTTCCATATGATTCCTTTTCCAAATAATAGACTTTTTTTTTTTTTACAAATGCCAAGTTGTAAATTGTGGAATTTAGTAAGAGCTTATTTTTAGACAAAATACTGATGGCTTAGAGATCTAAGTTGAATATATAGTTTTGTTGTATGGAGTGTGATAGGAAACAGTAGAATAATTTCCATGTGTGACACATATAATACCTCTTACAACTTATCATCACATTATTTTTTTAAAAGGAAAAAAAAAAGAGCACTAATGTTTGCTAATAATACATATAGCTGTTTTATATGTCAACCTATATAACTTACACATTTAAGATATACTTTTCCTTTTATTTTAAGGCTTTCTTCAGTGCTAAAAACCTATGGAAGCACTTTGAAAACACCATCAGTAGTTTATAGACAAAGGCTTTATGAATTACTGATTTTATTACCTCCTGAAACCTATGAAGGTATGTGCTTTAAACCAAAACGTTTTACTGTTTGTGGCTAGGACAGTGCTGGGAAAGTAATACCCGAATGAATTAATGATACGGCATTTATTTAGTACCTTATTTCTAGGAGGTTTAGTGAGTTCAGTCTTAACTATTGCATTCACCATTATACAGTAAATAAAGTAAATTTTTTTAAAAACCTACTTTTTAATGTCTTGCTTTCTTTTCTCCTCTGGGGAAAAAAGTCCCTAGTTCCACCGTGTGGAAGAGAATGAGTCACAAAGATTGGTCTTGATTCTACTCTAGGGTTTCCTTCTACATTGATGATCTACTGTACACATTCCATTTCACTGTTCCATTCTTTGCTGTGCCCAAACAAAAGTTTAATACTGAACTACCAAGGTATAATTGATTTTCTAAAGTTTAGAGTGTAGGTTTTGCCTTTATTGGATTCAAATATGACCTTAGATTACTAGTATACTATGATTGGTAAAATATACTTGTCTTTATTTTAAAATTAGTCCTACAAACTTTCTTATAAATTTAAAACACAGTTTTAAGAAAATATATTGCTGCTGCTAAAGTACTCAAGATGCATGTTTTAAGTGGTGAAAGTTGTAAATGGTCTCCATTGGGAACTTCATATTTTTTTAGTCTTAATAGTTTCCAGCCAAACATACTAAGTTACTTCAAATCTCCTTCTTGTACGGATACATTTATTGGCTTATATCCTTATTTTACAGGTAAATGCAATATCATATCTACCACAGTAGTTCAAAATATTAACCTGTAACTTCTGTTTGGCCTTTATTATATGAGTGGTATTATGATGTGAGTGTGGTACTGCCTTTCTTCCTGGTTCACAAATATACCTAGCAAAATGTTCGATACAAAGTAATCATTTAGTATATGAAGAACTGGAAAAAAATGGGTGATTGTCATTTCTCAGGAATTGTATCAAAAGAATCATTTCTGTATGCCAGGCACTGTGATAGAAATTGTATATATTATCTCATTTATCTTAGAATAATACAGTGAGCTGGTTACATTTTCCTTATTTGACAGATAAAGGCATAGAGAAGTTACAAAAACCAACTCAAGAACATATATGCAGTAAATAGTGGAATCAAGATTATAGATCTGCTTCATGCTGTGCTGCATACCTATTTGTAGGTAACCTGCAAGAGACTTAAACAGTCAAGGCTTAGTGATAGGTCTTTCTCATTGTAAGAGCTACCTGCTAGATATAAAAGCCCTAGAGATAATTTGTGTTCCATACCTCTGATAGCTGTCAGGTCCTGGCAAAAACAATTCCCCTTAGATATTTATATCAATTTTACCGTATTTTAGAGTTTATTTTCAAACTACAGATAAAAAAAATGATTTCTTTTTCAGGTCTTCATTAAACATCTAAGAATACCAGAATTTCAACTTAAAATCTACACTGTATCTTCTTTTTTTTTTTTTAAAGATTTTATTTATTTATTCATGAGAGACAGAGGGGGAGAGAGAGAGAGAGGGAGAAGCAGAGGGAGAAGCAGGCTCCCAAGGAGCAGGGAGACCGATGCGGGACTCGATCCCAGGACACTGGGATCATGACCTGAGTTGAAGGCAGACGCTTAATGACTGAGCCACCCAGGCGCCCTCTACACTGTATCTTCTAATAAGTGATAAATCTGCCCTTAAAAGACTTAAGAAAAAAAACAAAGTCTTGTACTTTTTTCTCAGAATTAGAGTTTAGTCAGAAGTCCTAAAGGAATAAAAAAAAAAGTCCTAAGGAATAATGAATATAAAGTGTATAGATTTTAAATCAGTTCCAGAGTGTTCACTGGGAGACAGTCAGGAATTACTGTAAACTTGAAAAATAGAATCTATATTTACCTTCTTTATCCTTTTCAGTTTATTTATCTAACATTACTTAAAGAAGAAGTAGTTCATAGAAAAATGAAAATTTGGAGGTATTAATAGTTTTATGTTTCAACCAAAAAAAATAATTTGCTATTTCTTGGCTATCTTTTTTCCATCTTTAAAACTATAGAAATAAAATTAAGGATATTTTCCTTAAAGACTTTAATTTTTTTTTTAAGATTTTATTTATTTATTTATTTGACAGAGAGAGATCACAAGTAGGCAGGCAGGCAAGAGGGAGAGGGAGAAGCAGGCTTCCCGCTGAGCAGGGAGCCTGATGTCGTGCTCAATCCCAGGACCCAAGATCATGACCCGCGCTGAAGGCAGCCACTTAACCGACTGAACCACCCAGGCGCCCCATGACTTTTAAATTTTTTTAATGGCATTCTATTTAATAGATTTATGTGTATGGAGCATAACAGTCAGAACTTTACTATTAAAATATCAACTGACATTTACAATAACGGCTCATCATACAATAATAACCTGTAGTAATTTCTGAATCTTTTAACACAAAATGAAATAGTAGTCTTTAAAGTTATACATCTCATTAATTCAAAATATGGCTAAGTAACAAAACAAGTTTAAAGTTCTGATGATACTGGTTGGTACAATGAGTTGTCAAAAAGTAAGTTTACAAGACAGAGTAAGAAATTGCTTTTGTTAATGGGACCTATTTTTAAGAATTTAAATGACTGGTTGTCCAGCAGATGCAGACTTTTGTCGTAGGAGTGACTTAGTTTTCCGAAGTTTGTGGAGTAAAAATTGGATTCTTAGTTTTTATTTCCTATTTTAGTTTTGTTATGGACCTTTCAAGTGTTTTAATTTTCTCCACACTGGAAATTGCTCCTCATTAGCAACAGAAAGCCAATGATGTATTTCTACAAAAAAAGCATATTTGCAGGAGTGCCTGGGTGGCTCAGTCAGTTAAACATGAAGCCTGCTTGTGTCTCTCCTCCTGCTCTTCCTCATACTCTCTCGAATAAATAATGTTCCCAGAAAAGCGTATTTGCATTTTAAAATGTAATCATTCTTAAATTCAGGGACTTCTAGGTGAGCAGTCACTTTGAATGAAAAATAGAGAGGAGTGGGCACCTGGGTGGCTCAGTCGTTAAGCGTCTGCCTTCGGCTCAGGTCATGATCCCAGGGTCCTGGGTTCGAACCCCGCATCGGGCTCCCTGCTCCATGGGAAGCCTGCTTCTCCCTCTCTCACTCTCCCTGCTTGTGTTCCCTCTCTCGCTGTGTCTCTCTTGTCAAATAAATAAAATCTTTAAAAAAAAAAAACTTAAGAAAAAGAAATAGAAAGGAGTGCCTGACTGGCTCAGTCCATGAAGCATGTAACTCTTGATCTCAGGGTTGTAAGTTTGAGTCTCACATTGTGCATAGAGATTACTTAAAACTTAAAAAATCTTTAAAAAAAATAAGGGGCGCCTGGGTAGCTCAGTTGATTGAGCATCCAACTCTTGATTTTTGGCTCAGGTCATGATCTCAGAGTCGTGGGATCAAGCCCCACATCAGGCTCCACGCTCAGTGGGGAGTTTGCTGGAGATTCTCTCTCTCTTTCCCCTTGCCCCCCTCGCCACACTCTCTCCCTGTGTAAAATAAGTAAATCTTTAAAAAAATAAATGAGAAAGAGAGAAACTATTTCCACACTTAGTTGTAAATATCTTTGAAATGGCAGGTCAATATGATAATGGACCAGTTTTTCAAAATGTATATATAAGAGAAACAACCATATGCTATCTCATGTCTTTTTTTTTTTTTTAGAGTGGAGGGAGGGGCAGAAGGCAGGAGAGAGAGAATTTTAAACAGGCTCTACACCCAGCCCAGCTCGGAGCCCAGAGCCCAACACAAGGCTCAGTCTCACAACCCTGAGATCATGACCTGAGCCAAAATCAAGAGTTGGTCACTTGGGGCACCTGGGTGGCTCAGTTGTTAAGCGTCTGCCTGCAGCTCAGGTCATGATCCCAGGGTACTGGGACTGAGCCCCACATCAGGCTCCCTGCTCAGTGGGGAGTCTGCTTCTCCCTCCCCCACTCCCCTCCTTGCGTTCCCTCTCTCTCTGTCTCTCTCAGTGTCAAATAAATAAATAAAATCTTAAAAAAAAAAAAAATGGTCCCTTAACCACCTGAGCCACCCAGGCACTCTGCACACCACCCCCATGTCTTATAGAAGATTGCAATGCTGTCTATGAACTAGGATGGCCCCCGAAACACAAATAAAATGGATCCTCTGTGGATCCAAGTTCCAAGTTATTAATCTGCAAAAAAATACAATAGAGGAACAAATTAAACTGCACTGGGGCATATATTCATAAAAATTCAGGCTGTAGAAACTTCTACAGAAAAACCTCATTTCTTCAAATAAATTACACAGGGAAGGGGCACCTGGGTGGCTCAGTCATTAAGCGTCTGCCTTCGGCTCAGATCATGATCCCGGGGTCCTGGGACCAAGCCCCGCATCAGGCTCGCAGGGAGCCTGCTTCTCCCTCTCCCTGCCCCCCACCTCATGCTCTCTCTTGCCATCTCTCTATCTCTCTCTCAAATTAAAAAAAAAAAAATTACACAGGGAAAAGTAGAGGTAAGAACTTTATTTATTTTTAAAAGATTTTATTTGTCAGAGTGAGAGAGAGAGAATGATAGCACAAGCAGGGGGAGCAGCAGGCAGAGGGAGAAGCAGACTCCCCACTGAGCAAGGAACCTGATGTGGGACTCGATCCCAGGACCCTGGGATAATCACCCGAGCTGAAGCCAAATGCTTAACCGACTGAGCCACCCAGGTGTCCCAAGGGAAGAACTTTAGATTGAATGAGACTTAAAATACATCAACTAATTAGAGCATGTAGACTTCACTTAGATCTTAATTCAATCAAAAGCAAACAAAAACAGGCATTTATGAGACAATTGAAAATTTGAACACTGAATGGGTATTTGATGTTAAGTGTTTTTTAAAACATGATATTATAATAGGATTGTTTAAAATGTCCTTAACTTTCAGTGATACACAAGGAAATACTTATAGATGAAATGGTATGCCTTCTAGGATTTACTTCAAAATAATATGGGAGGTGGTGAGATAGTGGATGGAGGTGTAGTGAAACAAAATTGATCCAGCTGGTCAAGATGCATGACAATCATATGCTGAGGTGGTGAAGAGTTGGGGTATCATAATACTATTATGTCTGCTTATCTATATGTTTGAAATTTTCCATAATAAAAAACATGTCGAATGTTTATAAATTTTTTAAGCTATGGTTTTTTAAAATAAATATAATTTATTTGCTTTTGTCTTCATCTTTTTTTATTCTGTTTCTGTCCTTCATGTCATTTTATTCAACATGATGGTAGTATTTAGTCAGTATCATGAGGTACACATACTTTGAGATGTCTTTTCAGTATCTGTTCTTAGTCTTTGACCAGTAGCACCAGTTGAGCCGTTTGTTTGTAGTGTATTTTTTAAGGATGAGATATAATCTTTGGCTGTAATAGATTAAAGTTAGCTGATGTTTAGATTAAAGCTCTGCCTGGGTTTTTTTAACCCTGTACTTTAACCAGTTAACTGCTTCTAGTAAATTGCTGATTGCTGTTTTCTGTAACTCAACAGGAAACCTTTGTACTATCCTCAAAGAGCTGGCTGCTGACTTGACTGCCTCTGATATACAGGTGGCAGCATCTGCATTTTTACTTCCACCCCTCTGTCATCAGGATGATCTTGTGATATTAAGTCCTTTGCTACAAGAGACTGACCATAGATTTATTGAAGAACAGGTATAGTCATTTTTCAGTAACTCTTGGGTTGACTTATTCTGTGAACAGCCATTTTAATACCTTATATATATTTGTTTTGTTTTGTTTTGTTTTAGCTCCTGCTTGGTAATGGTATTGCTTGTGGAAGTTTGGAGTATGACCCTTACTCTATTTATGAGAAAGATGTAGAGGGAGATTCAGTGCCTAAGCCCCTACCTCCAATACTATCAGTTATTAGCTCTGCAGTCAAGCTCTTTGGAGTTGTGTGTGCTCATGTGGGAGAAGCCCAAAGGTAAATCATCTTTAGTAGTTCACTTATCCTGAAATCCAATATTTAAGGATTGGTCTTTGGTTCAGTGAGTGCATAATAGAGAACTGATTCATAAGAAAAATACGAGATCTCATTAGTGGGGTACCTGGGTGACGTAGTCAGTTAAGCGTCCAACTCTTGGTTTCTCAGGTTGTGATCTCTGTTGTGAGCCCTGCCATCAGGCTCAGCGCGGAGTCTGCTTGAGATTCTCTCCCCACCGCCCCCCATTGGTGCGCGCGTGCTCTCTCTCTTTCTCTCTCTCAAAAAAAAGTTTTTATTAGCATAAAAGAGTTCTTACAGATGACAGGTGTAGGTGAGATAAAGGCTCTTGTAATTATTCATCTGGCTAATATTTAATAACTAATTAAGTCAATGATTAAATTCAATGATTAAACTGAAAACTGCTAGGCTTTCTTGTGGATATACTTTACCCATAATTACCTTATCATCTAACTGAAAATACAAATAAAAAAACACTGATTAAAAGAACGACAAAAAAATGCAGTGATATAGAATTTTGATTTATGAGCTATTGTTACAAAGAAGAACACTGGTTTTCTGCTTAGATTAGGTCTCATAAGCTCTCTTACCTTCAACGCCTTGTGGAGCCATTATAGGTCTTTAGTTTGGTGGATTTCAAAAATTAGATTAAAATTGATTAGTTTTAAGTTTGATAGATTTCAGTCCACTCAAAGTACACCTTAGTTTTGAAATATCAAAGACTAAAAATGGTTTCTTGTTGCGAATGACAGTTTCATAATTGATAACTGAGATAATACCTTTCTTGGAGATAAAAAAACACTACTTGTATCTAGTATCCAGTAAATTGTTTTTATGTGAGATACTAAATGCAGTGTGAATTTCTCCCATAGGCTATGCTTTTTAACAATTTATAAATTAGTAACTATCCTCATTTATTCATATTCTTTCCTTCCCTCTCCTCTCTCCTTCACTTCCTAACCTCTCTCTCCCTCCTTCCCCACTGTCTCCCACCCTCCCTTCCTTCCTGTCTGCCTCTAGCATGCTAAACCAAAAATAATAACATGTAACTAGATACATAGCTTTTATATCACTTTCTACGTATGTCTTCCAGAGAATATCAATTAGGTAGGGAATTTACCTTGGTCTCTTTTGATGAAGACTCACAAAAATATTTGAATCTTGTCAGCAACACATTTTTGGGGGGTTTTAAAGTAAGCTCTAGTCCCAACATGAGGCTTGAACTCACAATCCCAAGATCAAGAGTTACATGCGCTACCAACTACACCAGCCAGGCACCCCAGGAACACATTTTTGAAGCATGTCTCTGGGTAGTTTACTTTCAATGGATAGAATAGTGAATAAAACTTATTACGTTTGTTTTTTATGTTGATTGTTAATGGCCTCCTGTCATTTTATTTTAAACGATGGTAGTATTTGCTCATTATAAGATATACACAGACACATACACACTGAGATGTCTTTTCAGAGCTTAAATTTTAAAAGATGATGTTTTTCCCAAATTTATTTGTAGCCTATAGCTCCCTGTGTATACTGTAACTATAAAGTTGTGGCTTTAACTTATTTAAGACAATATATGACCAAATTATAAATGAATGCTGTAGCACTAAAAGATGAGAGGAAAATCATAGTAGTCTGGAATATTTGAAGAGGAATTGATAGAGGAGGGATGCCTGAGGTGACTCAGTTGGTTAAGCCTCTGCCTTCAACTCAGGTCATGATCCCAGAGTCCTGGGATTGACTGAGTCCCGCACCAGGCTCCTTGCTCAGTGGGGAGCCTGCTTCTCCCTCTTCCTCTGTCTACAGCTCCCCCTGCTTGTGCTCTCTCTTTCCCTCTCTCTGGCAAATAAAGAATTGATAAAGGGGCGCCTGGATGGCTGAGTCGGTTGAGTGTCTGATTCTTAGTTTCAGCTTGGGTCATGATCTCATGGATCATGAGATTGAGCCTGAGCTCAGCAGGGAGTTTGCTTGAGATTCTCCCTCTCCCACTGCCCCTCCCCCTGCTCCTGGATGGGAGCTCAAATGCATTCTCTCTCTCTCTCTCTCTCTCCCTCTTTCTTAATTTCAAATAAATAAATCTTGGGGCATCTGGGTGGCTCAGTCGGTTAAGTGTCTGACTTCAGCTCAGATCATGATCCCAGGGTTCTGGGATTGAGTCCCACATCAGGCTCCCTGCTCAGTGGGGAGTATATGTCTCCCTCTCCCTCTGCCTGCCGCTCCCCCTGCTTGTGTTCTCTCTCTCTCTCTGTCAAATAAATAAAATCTTAAAAATAAATAAATACATATTTAAGGGAAAAAAGAAGAATTATAGGGTGGGAGTGAACCAGTTTGTAACTGTACCATTTTATAGAGCATACGATTTAAAATAATTAATTTGATTTAATATAGAATTAACTACAGTGATGAAACGGGTGGCCTTGTGGGGAAAAGATTTAAATTAAGCATATTCTTAAATGGCTCCACTCTTTCTTTTTTTTTTTTACATTTTTTTAAAGATTTATTTATTTGAGAGAGAGAGAGAATAAGAGATAGAGAGCACGAGAGGGAAGAGGGTCAGAGGGAGAAGCGGACTCCCCGCTGAGCAGGGAGCCTGATGTGGGACTCGATCCCGGGACTCCAGGATCATGACCTGAGCCGAAGGCAGTCCGCTTAACCAACTGAGCCACCCAGGCGCCTGGCTCCACTCTTTCTGACAGGTCTAAGACAAAAAGTGAAAAAGAAAAGAATACACTTCTTAGAGAAGAGTTTTTTTAGGAAAATTATTTTATGTTCTAAAATTTAACTTGATGCTGTTTTTTTTAACCTCACCTGGACTAAAATAGTATATAGAATGAATATATATTTAAAGGAGAGGTTTTATTTGTTTTAATAAAAGTGTTGAGACCTGGTAAAAACAAAACAGTGTGTGTTTAGATTCTAACCGAATAAAAGTAGTAGGCAGTACTTTGGAGATTTTTAAAGGAAATGGTCTGGCAGGATCCCAGATACAGAAAGTGGGTCATAAGCAGCTCTCAGCAGTCTCCATTGGGTGTCATTAGAGGACCAGAGAAGAGAAACTACATAAATAGGAAAGTTAAGTTTCTAATATCCTGTTATCCCAAATATGATACTTGTTTAAGATGGCAGACCCTTTTTCTTTTGAGTCTTTACATTCCAAGGAAAAAAAAATGTTTTTAACCAAAGTATCTGTATTTAACAATAGCATCTGAATATTTCAAAGCATTTTGTTGTCATTGTGCTTAGCTTTGTGTTTAAACAGCTTAAAAGAAAGTCTTTAATAACATGAAATTGTCCTAAGATTAGAAATAGGTTTTTCATATTTTATTTATGCACTTAGAAATTAAATTGTCTTTAAATCATTTGGTTTTCTCTGTTTTGACTATAAGATTCTAAAAGTAAGAAAACTTTGCATTGGTAATTTTAAAGTACTAAAATGTTTAAAGTTCTAGAATGCCAAGATAATTTTATTTATTTTTAATTTTTTATTGTTATGTTAGTCACCATACATAACATCATTAGTTTTTGATGTAGTGTTCCATGATTCATTGTTTGTGTATAAGCCAAGATAATTTTATACAGAAAAGAACTATGATTGATCTTGTGCCTGTGTTGTTTGTGCTTACTTTGAAGCATTTTGCACTTAAATGCAAAGAATGAATTACTTAATTCATTTGAAGATTGTTCTGCCCTTGACAATACATTGCAGTCACTTGGATAACTTTTTAAAATGTACATTCTGATTTAATAGTATGGTATGCATGTATGTTGGGTATTGAAATTTTCAAAAACTCCTTAGATAATTCTGACATGCAGCCAAGGTTGAGAACCACTGCTATAAATGCTGTAAAATGATTGTGGGTTGATGGAGAGAGAGGAAAAGCATAGTGCTGTAAGGACATGTAAAACAATTCACAGAAGCAGGGCGCTTGGTGGCTCAGATGGGTAAGCGTCTGCCTTCTGCTCAGGTCATGATCCCAGGGTCCTGGGATCGAGCCCCGCATTGGGCTCCCTGCTTGGCGGGGAGCCTGCTTCTCCCTCACCCTCTACTGTTCCCCCAGCTTGTGCTCTCTTGCTCTCTCTGTCAAATAAATAAAATCTTAAAAAAAAAAAAAAAATTCATAGAAGCTACATTAATAGCTAATGGACACATTCAATCCCAGACCAAAACTAATATCCATCATAGTTAGAATTGTGAAAATTAAAAAATTTCTCTCTCTGTCAGTAGAATGATTGAATAAATTGTAATACATGTGCACAGTAAAATTTGGCTTCATGAAAGTTACCAAAGAATAAGAATGATTTGAAAGGTGCTTAGGAGGTAATGTTAAATGAGAAACAGAAGAGTTAAAATTATGTTAATATATAGTGTGATCCTAAGTACATTTTAAAGTATAGCTGGGAGTTCAAAGAGTTGTGCTGATTCTCATTAACTATAGATGACATAAGTTGATGCTACCTTTAAAATGAAGCTATGTATTTGAATCCAATTAAGTCCTGTTATCAAGAACAAGAAAATTGATGCATGTAACTTTTAAGATATCCTTTGTTTAGGGGTGCCCGGCTGGCTACGTCAGTAGGATATGTGACTCTTGACGTCAGGGTTGTGAGTTTGAGCCCCACATTGGGCATAGAGTTTACTTAAAAAAAGAAAAGAAGAAAAAATAAGATATCCTTTGTTTAGAAAATAGTTATTGAAATAGAATTTTTCCAGGTAAATATTTATTAAGTGATACTTTTGTGGGGTTTTTCTCACATAATAATGTTTCTCGCCCACTGTCAGAATGACACAAAATCAAAATGTTTTTGTATTTTTTACGATATATTTTCTTTCCCTAAAATGTTTTAGTATGTTCAGCAAGAGTTTATCTCATTTTATTTATTTTTTTTTTTTAAAGATTTTATTTATTTATTTGAGAGAGAGAGCACATGAGAGGGGGGAGGGTCAGAGAGAGAAGCAGACTCCCTGCCGAGCAGGGAGCCCGATGCGGGACTCGATCCAGGGATTCCAGGATCATGACCTGAGCCGAAGGCAGTCGCTTAACCAACTGAGCCACCCAGGTGCCCCGAGTTTATCTCATTTTAGCAGTTCCCACAAAATAATGCAACAAAACAGATTAGCAGTATATACTCAGTAATGCCCTTTGTCTTACTTCATCTTTATTAGCAAATTCACTGTCTTACTATTTGCTTTTAAATCTTGTTTCTGATTTTAGGCTTTTTATACTGGAACAGCTTTTGGACAGTATAAAGCACTCAAAAGGAGCTCGTCAACAAATAGTTCAGTTACATGTTGTTTCTTCACTCTCTAGTTTCTTGAAGGTAATTGTTTTTTTAAAATTGGAGCATTTGATTAATTTTTTTTTCTAATGTATGTCCAACTATGTAGGTTGGAGGAAGGTGTTTTTAAAGAACTGCTGCTTTTTTTTCCTTCCCTCTTTTCTTAATCTCCTAATGAAAATGTTTCAGGATTTGTAATTCCCCTTTTACTTTTTCTCTATGTAAATCTTGTTAGTCAGAAATTAAACCTGAAGTCTTGGCTTAGGAACATGCTTTAACCTACTCAGCCTAATATCCTATACCAGAGATTGGCAGACTATGGCCTATGAGCCAAATCTGGCTTATTGTTGCATTTATGGCTTATTGTTTCTAACTAAAATATAATACACTTCATTGGTTATTTTATGGAAATTCCTATTAATGTTCTTCTGAACACATATATACTATAGTGACAATCAGTTACCATATTGTTTGCCTGAAGGTTTAAACTTCTAAAGAACTTTCTGTGAAAAATCAAATTATTTTTGGGTGTTCAGTGTTTATTTGTGTGTGTGTGTGTGTGTGTGTGTGTGTGTGTGTGTGTGTGTTTAAGTAGTAATCCAAGAATGAGCGTATTTGCTTAACCAGAATAGTCATTCCAAACTGGATTAGAAAATTTACTACAGGGGTGCCTGGGTGGCTCAGTCTGTTAAGCATCTGACCCTTGATTTCGGCTCATGTCATGATCTCAGAGTTGTGAGATTGAGCCCTGAGTCAGGCTACACGTTCAGCAGGGAGTCTCCTTGAGGTTCTCTCTCCCTCTACCTTTGCCACTCACCCCACTTGCATTTGCTCTCACGCTCTCTTTCTCTAAAATAAATAAATTTTTTTAAAAAAGGAAATTTACTACAATTGTAAGTTTGGATTATTCTTTACGTATTTCAGTACTTAGCTGTCTCCAAGGGAAATTTGGGTCCAGAAGAAATGAGAAGACCTGCCCTAGCGTTGGTGATGGGAGCCCTAGAAAGTCCCAACCCCCTCTTGAGATGTGCAGCTGCAGAGGCATGGGCTAGATTAGCCCAAGTGGTTGATGATGGAGCTTTTACTGCTACATTAGCTCAAGTCAGCTTTGACAAGTAAGTGAATTTCCTAATACTCATAGACTATATGTCAAAACTGGGTATAGTTTGTTGATGTTTTTTGGAACTAGTGAAACTTCATCCTGGGAATTAACTCAGAAAAAAATTGATAAACACAGATACTTTCAAATGAAGGGTTTGCTCATCTTAGGACATAAAACTATTACTACTTTGGCTTTAGTTTTTATATAGTAAGAGAAAGATTACCAATATATGAGTGGTATAATTGGCTATTAGTGGAATGGACTCTGGGAGACACGGAGTTTTATCATTTAAAATATAGATAATAGGTAGTAATAACAATCTACTGGAAAGAGTAAAGGCTGTATGCTGTCATGATCAGGAAGCATAAACTATGTTTTCATTTTTGCCAGCTCTGAGATCATGAGCAAAGAGTAAACTTCTCAGCTAGTTTTCCTGTTTTTTTTTTAACATTCTTAAATTTTAATGAAATTAATTAACATATAATGTATTATTGGTTTCAGAGGTACAGGTCTGTGATTCATTAGTCTTATATAAGACCCAGTGCTCATTACATCACATGCCCTCCTTAATGTCCATCACCCAGTTACCCTATCCTTACACCTCCTTCTCCTTATCTTCCTCTCTGGTTTCATCTTAGTTTTATTTTTCCTCTCTTCCCCTATGATCCTCTATTTTGTTTCTTAAATTCCACATATCAGTGAGATCATATGATAATTGTCTTTCTCTGATTGACTTAATTTCACTTAGCATAATACCTTCTGGTTCCATCCACATCATTCTAATGGCAAGATTTATGCATATATATACCACATCTTAATCCGTTCATCTGTCAATGGACATTTGGGCTCCTTCCACAGTTTGGCTATTGTGGACATTGCTGCTATAAACATTGGGGTGCAGGTGCCCCTTCAGATCCCTACATTTGTATCTTTGGGGAAATACCCTCTGTTTCAAATAGAAGGTTGTTAATACTACCCTGCCTGCTTAACAGTGTTAAGGTAAATGAAATAATAAATATGAAAGTAATATGAAAGAATAAAACAACCACAAATAAAAGTTCATGGTTATATTAGTAATATATGTATATAAAGTTATATTCGTAGTAGTAGTAGTAGTAATGCAAGTAGCACTTTGACCTTCCAGTTTACTGAATATGTGTGACTGATTTGGTTAAGAGGTTGAAGTATGGTGGTGCCTGGCTGGCTCAGTTGATAGAGCATGCGACTCTTGATCTCGGGGTTGTGAGTTCAAGCCCAAAGCTGGGTGTAGAGATTATAAATAAATAAACTTTAAAAAAGAGAGAGAGAGCTGGAAGTCCGGAGTCAGATTACTAAACTTGGTTCAAATCCCATTCATCCACTTAATAGTTGGTTACTGTGTAAGAGTCACTTTGGCTATTTTGTTCTCCTCATCTGTAAAGAGGAACTGGTAATAGTACGAATCTCAAGGTTGTTGGGAGGATTAAAGGAGTAAATGTAAAACACTTAAATTAGCACAGAATGCATAAGAAAACTCCTAATAAATGTTTATTTTTCTTGCTATATTTAATGTTAAAATCAAAGTTCTTGAGTTGAAACTCTCTTTGTATAGAATTAAAGTATCTCAGCAATGTGAGCTTTTAAAATGTAATTTAATGATGCTCTCAACAAAGTAGACATGGAAGGAGCATACCTCAGCATTAAAAAGACCATATATGACAAGCCCACACCTATCACACTCAAAAGCTAAAAGCTTTTCCTCTAAGATCAGGAACAAAAAAAGGATGCCCATTCAATTCACTTTTATTCACCTTGGTTTTGGAAGTTTTAGCCATGCAATTAGACAAGAAAAAGAAATAAAAGGCATCCAGATTAGAAAGGAAGAGGCAAAACTGTCACTGTGTGCAGATGACATAATACAAAATTAGAAAATCCTAAAGACTCCACCAAAAAACTGTTAGAATTAAGTGAATTCAGTAAAGTCACAGGATATGAGATTAACATACAGAAATCAGTTTCTATACATATAACAAGCTGTCAGAGAAATTAAGGAAACAATCCCAATCACTATTGTAAGAATAAAATATCTAAGAATCAGTTTAACCAAGGAAGTTAACAGCCTGCACACTGAAAACATTAAGACATTGTTGAAAGAAATTGAAGATGACACAAATAAATGGAAAGATATACCATGCTCCACAAGGATGGCATGCAAATTCATGAAGCATTCCATATTTTAATACACACACACACACACACCCCATGCTCATGGATTGTAAGATTTAATATTGCTAAAATATCCATACTACCGAAAGCAATCTACAGATTCAGTGTAATCCCCATCAAAATACCAATGACTTTTTCACAGTGCTAGAACAAAAACCTGAAATTTTTATGGAACCACAAAAGACCCAAATAGCCAAAGCAGTCTTGAGAAAGAAGAACAAAGTTGGAGGTATGCTGATTTCAAACTATATTACAAAGCGATAGTAATCAAAACAGTATGTTACTGGCATAAAAACAAACACAGATCAATGTGTTAGAATAGAGAGCCCAGAAATAAACCCACACATAATCTAGTCAATTAATTTGACAAAGGAGTCAAGAATGTATAATGGGGGGAAAATGGGCTACTGGCTGGCTCAGTCAGAAGAGCTTGCAACTCTTGATCTTGGGGCCATAAGTTTTTTGGGTTTTTTTGTTTTTTTTTTAAAGATTTTATTTATTTATTTGAGAGAGAGAATGAGAGATAGAGAGCACGGGAGGGAAGAGGGTCAGAGGGAGAATCAGACTCCCTGCTGAGCAGGGAGCCCGGTGTGGGAGTCGATCCCGGGACTCCAGGATCATGACCTGAGCCGAAGGCAGTTGCTTAACCAACTGAGCCACCCAGGCGCCCGGAGCCATAAGTTTAAGCCCCACCTTGGTCATAGAGCTTACTTTAAAAACAAAACAATAGGGGAAAACAATCTGTTTAATAAATGGTGTTGGGAAAACAAGACAGCTACTCGCAAAAGATTGAAACTGGACCACTATCTTACATTGTATACAAAAATAAATTCAGAGTGGATAAAAGACTTGAAGTAAGACCAGAAACCATAAAACTGCTAGAAGAAAACATATGCATAAACTCTTTGACATTAATCTTAGCAGTATTAGGGGAAAGGTCAGGCTCCTCAGGTAATGGCAACAAAGCTAAAACAAACAAGTGGAATTACCTCACACTAAAAAGGTTTTGTACAATGAAGGAAACCATTAACAAAATAAAAAGGCAGCCTATGAATGGTGGAAGATATTTGCAAATCATATATATTCGATAAGGGGTTAATATCCAAAATATATGAAGAACTTATACAACTTAATGTCAAAAACCTGATTTTAAAAAAATGGGCAGAGGACCAAATATACATTTTTCCAAAGAAGACATAGAGATGGCCAACAAGCAAGTGAAGATCTTCTCCACGTCATTAATCACCATGGAAATGCAAATCAAAACCATAATGAGACATCACCTCACACTTGTCTAATTCGCTAATATCCAAAAGACAGTAACAAGTGTTGAGTAGGATGTGGAGAAAAGGGAACCTTCATACACTGTTGGTGGGAATATAAATTGGTGCAGCCACTATGGAAAGTAGTATGGCAGTTCCTCAAAAAATTAAAAATACAATCCAGCAATTCCACTGCTGGGTATTCAAAGGAAATGAAAACATTGATTAAAAGAGATATCTGCACCCCTGTGTTCATTGCAGCATTATTTACAATACCCAAAATATGGAAGCAACCTGTGTCTCTTAATAAATGAATAGATAAGATGTTGTGTATAATATTACTTAGCCATAAAAAAGAAGGAAATCTTGCCATTTGCGACAACATGGGTGAACCTAGAGGGTATTATGCTCAGTGAAATAAGACAGAAAGACAAATACCGTATGATTTCACTTACACGTGAAAAGAAATGAATGAACAAACAAACTCATAGATACACAAGAAATAAACTGTTGGTTACCAGAGAGGAGAGGAGGGTGCAAAACAGGTGAAGAGAATTAAGAGGTCCAGACTTCCAGTAATAAAATAAATAAGTCATGGGATGCAATGTATAATATATAGACTATAGTCAGTAATATTGCAGAAACTTTGTATGGTAACAGATGGTAACTAGACTTATTGTGAGGATCATTTCATAATGTATAAAAATATCAAATCACTATGATACATGCCTGAAACTAATAGGATATTGTGTACTTCAACTTGAAAAAAGTAACAAAGTAATAATGCTTGTCTTACAAATTTAGTGTATTTCTGAAAAACATTGAAATTATTCGTACTTAATCATTAATAATGTGAAGACATTTTTGTTTAAAATGTTTTTCTTTTCAAGATACCTTTCAGGTCATTTCAAAAACTTTTTTTTTATCAATTAACAGTAAATACATTTTTGAATTTTGCAGCTATTCATATAAAACGTTTTGCCTAAGTGACAGTGGACATGCATTAGTTTTGTTCAGTGATTATTTTTTATTTCCGTAATTATAGATTGAAATCAGCAAGGGATGTGGTTACCAGAACAGGATACTCATTGGCTTTGGGATCCTTACATAGATATTTAGGAGGAATAAGTTCTTCTCAACATTTGAATTCTTGTGTTGGAATCCTTTATACTTTGTCTCAGGACACTACTTCTCCTGATGTGCAGGTAAATACCCCATGTGATACCTTCTTGAAATTCATGATTTGTATATAATGCAGATTGTTTTTATAGACCATTATTAATTTATTAATAATCCCTCCCCCAATAAATATCCAAACCATTGTTAACCTTGACTGGTTTTTGAAATTCAAATCTCACTATCTATCTTTACTTCACACTCAGAGTTTCTAAAATCAAATTCAGTATCTTTTTCTGAAAATGGATCTTCCTCCCATCTTAATAATAACATTTACTGTTTTGGAGAGCTTAATAGGTACCAAGGATTGTTTTATATTCTTCTAAAACATTAACATATTTAAGCCTCACAACAATCTACAGTGTATGTTCCCCTTATACAAAAAGAAAACTGGAGCTTACAGAAGCTAAGTAACTTGCTCACAGCCGAAAGCTAATAAATCATGGAGTCAGTTCAAGAACACAAATCATGAACTCTAAACCCATGTTCTTAACCAGTTTACCATTATTGTTGTACACATCTTAACCCATTTCAGTTAATATCCTCATTCTCTTGATATCTTAATCAAATCTTGAATGATTATTATTCTTCCTGCCCTTTTTCTCCCCTTATCTTACCTCTGCCTCCCTTGTGTGTTCCTAATTACTGCAGTAATAGTTTTAGGTTCTTTTCAACTCCCCCTAGATGTGAAGACACATTTGTTTTCCTGAAAGACTTTCATCTTGCCACTTCCCTACCAAAAACCTGGGGAAACTGCTTATTGCTTCCTAAATCACCTCCTTCAAGTCCTATCAACTGACCCAGTAACCTGTTATTACCCGAAAGTACTGGCTTCTCTTACAGATGACCTGCCTATTTTCATCCCACATGTACCTTTCTCATATCTGCACTTATATTTTTCCTATTGTTCTTTTCCCTTACTATTCCTATCTGATAATCCAAATTTTCTAGTGTTCTGAGATCCAGTTTAACCACCTTCTCGTCAAATTTCAACATCCCTAATCCACAGTTAGCTCCCTTTGAATTACCATATTACAAATAGTCTCCTCCTCATCATCATCCAGTAGTAGACTGAGTTATTTATAAGGTGTCCATTCTTTCATCCTCCTTTATTATAGCAACTTTTGTTTTTATTCTATTTCTCTTCTTCCCCTTCAAGAAGTCTGTTGTGGATGCACATACTTTTATATCAAATACCTTTTTTGTTGATTAAATGCTTTTAGTGACTTCCAATGTCATCAAATCTGATTCTTCTCGATTACTGCTATCTCTTAACAGTTTATTTTTGTAGCATTTAAAGTACTATAAGCTTTCTGGTAAGAGGGGTAAAACTTCTCGTTTTCCTAAAGGGAGAACTTTTTATGTACTTAAAACATACATAGAAGTAGAATATACTATAAGGACCCTATTATACCTATCATCTGACTGCACTGGTTATCAGTCTTGTTTCATTCATTCATTTGTTCATTCATTTATTCGTTCATTGGTGGCTTAAACAACAGAAATTTATTTTCTCATGGTTCTGGAGGCTAGAAGTCCAAGATCAAAGTGTCAGCCAGTTTGGTTTCTTCTGAGCCCTCTTTGCTTGGCTTGCAGGTGGACACCTCACTGTGTCTTCACATGGTCTTTCCTCTGTGCTTATGAATCTCTAGTGTCACTCTGTCCAAATTTTCTCTTCTTAGGACACCAGTCACATTGGGTTAGGGTCCACCCTAAAAGCCTCATTTTAACTCCTTTAAAGGCCCTGTCTCCAAAGACAGCCCCATCCTGAGGTACTGGGAGAGGCTTGTTCATTTAAACCGGAGTTGACAAATGTATTTTATTAAGAGCTACATAGTAAATTGTGTACACTTTACACCTTTACAGTCTCTGTCAGCTGCACAATTCTGCCACTGTAGCAGTAGAGCAGCCATAAATACATAAATAAATGAGCATGACTGTGTTTCAGTAAAGCTTTATTTGTAAAAACATGTGGCAGGTCAGATTTCGCTCAAAGGCATTTCATTTGTTTTATAAAGAAATATACTTTTTTTTAAGATTTTATTTATTTGAGAGAGAGAATGAGATAGAACACGAGAGTGGGGAGGGTCAGAGGGAGAAGCAGACTCCCCGCTGAGCAGGGAGCCCAATGCGGGACTCGATCCCAGGACTCCAGGATCATGACCTGAGCCGAAGGCAGTCGCTTAACCAACTGAGCCACCCAGGCATGTAATATATACTTATTTTATACATACACTTATTTTTATATGTTTATGAAAGTACACTTGTCTTAAGTGTGCATCTCTGTGAATAAAGTATACAAACTAAATACACCACGTAACCAGCACCTAGATCGAGAAATAGAACATTATCAATACCCCAAACACTCTCCTCATGTTCTCTTCTAGTTACTACCTGTCCCACCAAGGATAACCACTATCCTAATTTGCAACATCATATATTAGTTTTGCCTGCTTTTATACTTTATATCAATGGAATCATATGGTATGTACTCTTTTATGTCTGGCTTTCTTCAACATTATGTTCAAGAGATTTGTCCGTATTACTGCATGTACTGGTAGATTTTGTTGAATCTTTTATTTATTTATTTTGAATCTTTTAAAAACTGGAATTTTTGTTCACATAGATTAAATAGTAAACAATTTTCAACAAACCAGATTCAGTTCAGGCTGTTAGCTAAAGAACCAAACATAGACTTGGAATTCTTAGTGCTGAGATTTCAGTTTATCATTCTAAATTAGATGATTAGATCTTTTCTTAAACTTCTTATGTTCTCTATTTCTCTTTCCAGGTTAGTAATAGCACACAAATTACTTTGCTGTTACTTTATCACTTGTTTCAACAAAGAACAATTCATTGTGTTTTTTGTTTCTTAATGCTGCTGTAGCATTTTAAATTGTTTTTCTCTGTCTTTACAGACCTGGGCACTACATTCACTATCATTGATAATTGATTCTGCTGGCCCACTCTATCATTTGCATGTGGAACCCACCCTTTCTCTTATTATAATGTTATTGTTAAATGTGCCTCCTACTCATGCTGAAGTTCATCAAAGTCTTGGTCGCTGTTTGAATGCCCTTATTACTACATTGGGTCCAGAGCTACAGGGTATGTATAACTCATTTTGTGATGTTTTACATAAAAAATGTACATAGAAAATGAATTCATTTCTTATTACTGACTCAAATACTTGTCAGTGAAATGAAGTTTAGTATAATGTTCTATGCAAATCCATGGGCAGAATGTTGAGAGACATCTTGGGAAGAAGACGTTGACTTCTGAATGTTGACATAATAGAACATAACATAGAAACGAGGAAACTTAATGTAAGTTCCACCACTACTTAATTCAGTGACCTTTGGAAAATCTTTGGTCTTTGGTTTCCTTCTCTATCAAATGAGGGAAAAGTTGAAAAGCCTTTGTGATTGACACATAGTAGGTGATCATATATTTTGTGAAATGCCATTCAGTGTGATTTCTCTTACCTTGAAAAGACAAGGAGTACCATATTTAGAAAGATTAGATATATTTTTTTAAATGCTTCCCTTAACAATTAAGGTGATAGACACCAAGTGGAATAGTGAACTCATCTCTTCTAAGAAGTAAGTGATTAAGTCCCAAAGCTCAGATAATCTGATCTGTTCAAATGTAAAATCTATGATTTTAATATTTGAAAGCAACTCAACTAATATAAGCAGGGCTAAGTTCATTAGCCATTTCTAATTCTCCTTTTCGTGAAAATTTGATATAACCTAGTCTTAGGTTCTTGTTTGCCTAATGATTTATGTTGACATAAATTTTTCAGAGTAAGAATAAGTAACATAACCTAAAAATCTGTCACCTGGATTATCCCTGCTTTTGTAGAAGAAATTTATTTCACAGATCCTTGAGTTTAAAATTGGTATAAAAAAAATTTAAACCTAGTAATATATGCTTAAAGAGGAATGATTTCATAGACCAATTATTCAAAGCTCTCTGCTTTCCTTTTAGGTAATAGTACTTCCATTTCCACCTTAAGGACTTCCTGTCTTTTGGGTTGTGCAGTGATGCAAGATAACACAGACTGCCTTGTTCAAGCTCAGGCCATTTCTTGCCTTCAGCAGCTTCATATGTTTGCTCCAAGACATGTCAACCTATCTAACTTGGTCAGCTGCCTCTGTGTGAGTATAAAATTATTAGTGAGTCCTTAGTTTTTTTTCATTGGAAACTTAGGTTTATTTATTCTCTAGTCTGTGTACAATAGCTATTTTCTCTCAGTTCTAGTGTTTTTTTTAGGGGGTAGGGCCAACTCTTATATAATCACATCTTAAACCTCTCATATATTGATACATTTTTCTTCTCTTAGTGTTGAACTTAACATTTGGAATATTTATTCATTAGTCAATAAACATATAGAGGGTGCTTAAATGTCCCGGATACTGTATAAATGCCATAGGACATGGAAAAGTTTATGTGATGTCTTTGTTTTTTCCTTCCTTTTTTCCGCATAATTACATATAAAGTTCTCTCCACCCCAGATGGGCAAATAACATTTTTCCTTAATATTCTAGTGGCATATCCATCAATATCTGGGTTTTAATAATACGTTTAATAAATATGGCAAGATGAATGCTGAAAGTTCTGGTGAAGTGGTTCATAATCGTCAGTGGTTTTAAGATTACCTTGAGTATCATCAGTTTCTATCTGCACTTGCCTCAAAAATTGAGTTACATTTGGAATTAAAACAACACCACTGCTTTTAAACATTTCTGCCCCTAGAATGTCCACAACACACTCCCATTAGTAACATGACAGTTGAGAATCATTACTTTAGACAGACCTTTCATTTACAAGCTTGAGGCAGAATATGCAGCATTTCAGACCTTGAAAGAACCTCAAATGTTATTAAAACCAACCTTCCCAATAAAAAAGATAAATCAAGGACCAAAAAGTCAAATAATTTGCCCAAGGTAACGTACCTAGGTATAGTGGTAGCTCTAAGTCTAGAATCCAGTTTCTCAACTTGTAGTTCAGTCCCCATTTCTTTATTTCTTACTGACTATACTTATGGTTAGCACTTTTTTTTTAAAGATTTTATTCATTTATTTATTTAAATTTTGTTTATTTGAGAGAGAGAATGAGAGAGAGAGAGCATGAAAAGGGGGCGGGTCAGAGGGAGAAGCAGACTCCCTGCTGAGTAGGGAGCCCGATGCGGGACTCGATCCGCAGACTCCAGGATCATGACCGGAGCCGAAGGCAGTCACTTAACCAAGTGAGCCACCCAGGCGCCCACTTAATGGTTAGCTCTTCATCTCAGTTCTACCACCTCCTAGTTCTGTGGCCTTAGGGAAGTCCCACAACCTCTTCCAGCTTTAGCTACCTTGTCTGTAGAACACAAGGATTACACAAGATGCCGCCTGTAAAGGCACATGTCCCAACCACTTAATACATAGTTTTTATTTTCTTAACATATAACTTATACATTATATTAATCTTCATAGTGATTTTCACAAAGTTACATAAGACTCTTAAAAAGAGGATGTGACTGACTTTTCTCATAGAAACTTGGTTCCTGTCTGGGTTAAACATATTTTGGAGAAAATAGCACTAACTGGAAGAAGGATTTTACCTTTACCACTCAATGACTTTTCCCTAGGAATATTATTCTTTCTGTTCCAAGAGCCATCACCAAAACCAGTTACTGAAAAATAGCCACTCCTTTGCAAGTTGATCAAACTTTCATTCCATTATACTGCCTTTCTTTTTCTTGAATTATAGTAGAAATTTTCCACTGGTAGCCTTTTGAAATTTGTCTAACTGATGCATTAATTCATTTACTAAGTTTATTGGGAAATAAAGAACAAAACTTACTACTAATTCTTGATGAATTAGATCTGATCAAATTCATTAGTCTTTTTTTTTTTCCCCCCGGACTGAGAAAGATTACATATAAAGAAGAATAGAGACCACTATCAGATTTTTGTTTTAGGAACATTCAGAGCAACTGAGAAAATCAAAATTAACAATTAACAAATTTTATTTATGTTACTCTTATTTAAGCTGTAAAATGATTTTCTTACAGAAATCATTTAAAAATTGCTATCACTATAGTTTGTTAATTTTATGTCTTAATTTTTTTAGTAAGCTTATATTCTGAATTTATTAGATTGAATTTATTATATATATATATTTTTAAGATTTTATTTATTTATTTGATAGAGACACAGTGAGAGAGGGAACACAAGCAGGGGGAGTGGGAGAGGGAGAAGCAGGCTCCCCACTGAGCAGGGAGCCCTGTGTGGGACTCAATCCCAGGACCCTGAGATCACGACCCAAGCCGAAGGCAGACGCATAACGACTGAGCCACCCAGGCACCCTGAATTTATTATATTTTAGAGTATTCCCTGTAGTAAGAAAATTGCTTTTGCTTTCATATTTAACAACTTTATGGTCAGATTTTCTTTTGTACAGAGAATTTAATTATTTAGCATGAAATGTTTTCATATTAATTGAAACTCCCTGAATATTAAATATTTCATCATTAGGAAAGAATCTTACTGGAAAGAGTTTTCTTCTAACTGCATGCTGTTTAACTTCCATTCTGAACTTGGTCTTAGCTACACTAGCAATTCTGAGTACTCTCAGTTTTAAAAGTTGGCTTCCAAGAATAAAAAATCTATCATTAACTTGTGATGAGGTAAACCATTAACTTTATCCCTTGCTGGACACTTGCTCATGTGAATGCAATCCAGATCACTCCTTTAATACTCATGTCTACTTGATCTGGCTTTGTTATTGAGGCTTAATGAGAGATTCCAAAGGAAAACCTAATTAAACAAATGTACATTTTTAAGTTATTGTATATTTTATATCTTTACATCTTGAGTTGACTATTTCCAAGATCTTAGCTCAACTCATATTTTAAAGTTGGAAAATGAAGTAATTGTGGCATATTTTTAAAGCTGAGGCTAAGCCAATTTGAATGATAGCTCTATCAATATTTATATTTTAATGCTTAGCTGACTGTTGTCAAAGTCATCCTAGTATTTATCTTTTGGTTTTGTCATGACCGGTCTGTCATTTGTTTTTGTGCAGGAGATCTTGTTGGATAATTCTGTGTTGGTAGGTCCCTGACCCTCAATTCCTAACTTATTTTTGAGGTTTGCAGTGCTGTTTCTTTGTGTCGTTTTTATTTTTTTTTGGTTGTACATGTTGTTTTCCCCTGCATCTCTTTGTTTAAGCTAACCATTAATGCAAAGTCCAGTATGTATAGCATGTTACATGGTGTTTATTTAATACCACTGTAAATAAATCCTCCCTAACCTTCTCCAGCTGGTGCACTCACTCCTTGCACTTAATTTTGCATCATTTTGATTTATATATTCATTTCAGAAAGGAATTGTAATTACAGTTTGACTTAGTTTCTATATTTTGCCTGCCTGGTTTGTTTGTCTTAACTCACTCTATTCCTCTTCCCCATATAAATGCTGGAGAATGACATGGAGATATTAAGTGTTCCATTTTGCTTGTGTGACCGCCTTCAATCTTTTTTCTACCAAACAAGTAAAGAGTACTTTTAAGCATGCTTTCTCTGAAAGTGTTTGACCAGCCTGAATAAATGCTGCACCTGCCTTGTATTATATGCTTGTAAAATTCCAATGAAAATAACTAGTAGATTCATTAACTTTTCTTTAAAATTGCCTTGTAGAATGCCTTTTTTGTCATTGTTGTAAAATACAGCCGTAATTTTGGGCATGAGTAGACTTAATCTTTTTACATTTTAACTCCTCTCCCATCCTATGTACTAGTTTCTAACAATGGTTCTGTGACTGGGATGACATTAACTTGAGACTTTGTGAATGGCATTTCTCTTTCCACTTTTGAGTTCATGATATGACTTGAGGGTGTAAAAGAATATATTTATAAAGCAGTTCCTATTCATATGTTTCACTGATGATACATTCACAAATCTTTTCTGTCTTTTGGCCTCTGATAAAATTTAGAGTTTCACTCTCTTTGCACATGTTTCTTATATATCAAAAACCAGCTGTCACCATCTACTCTTTTTTCTCAGAATTTTTCCTCTGCTCTTTTCAACAAACTCACCTACTTCAGTCCTGTTTTTCTCACATACACGAGATCTAAAGAAAGATCACTGTAAGAATTATGCTGGTCTCACATTTTGCTTGGAAAATCAGTAGCGTAAGACACATATTAATTGTCATAAATCACACTAAACTGGTCTTTACTTTCATAGTTAGAAAAAAATAAATTTCAAGAACTCTATACTTTATTCTACTTACAAATCACTGAGTAAGAATTTGTATCCAGAACCTTTGACTTGTTTTAATTGTTCATTTAAGGTATATCACAATCATATCATTTACTTCAGTAGATACAACCTGTTGAGATTTACCTTGTTCAAATACTTCTAAGTAAAAAGAATATGTATTGAGTCATTATGAGCAAAAATATTCTATATCTCTAAAATATGTACACGTCTATGTACATATATGCATATCCATATACAAGTAGATATACATATATGTAAAATTTGTTGTCTCTAATGTGTATCTGTAGAGAGTGTTTTTGGTGAATATGTTTTTTGAGTAAAACTCTTCTCTGCTTTTATTTGAAAATGAATTTACTTACTCTGTATGGCATCTGAATAAAATACTATTGATAGAGACTGTTAATAATAGTTAATAATAACTAACATTTATTGAGCACATATTATTTGCCAGGTACTGTGCTAAACTCTTCTGCATGTTTCTTTGTGGTGATTTTGCAACAGCCCTGTGACATGGGGTAGTGTTATTTCCATTTTACAAATAAGAAAACTAAGGCACGGAGAGGTTAAGTAATTTGCCCAAGGTCACACAGCTCGTAAGTGCTGGATCTAGGACCCAAACTGCGGCAGTTTGACTCCAGAGCCTCACTTTTAACCAGTATGCTATACTGCTTATATGGATTTAATAAAAATTTCTACTTAGAGAATCATAAAACATTATCATGTTGCATGAGCACAAACATATGAGCTACAAATAAATTCTCAGTTGTATTTCTTTTATCTCAAAACTATATTTACTCATAAATTTTATGTCTTCTAAAACTCAAGAGGCTTCTGCTTGGATTTGTTTATGAATATTTGCATAGTCAAGTATGTGTGCTACTCCTCAAGCTATGTCTAAGTTATAATAAAAATATGTACTGGAATAGTTTGAAGAAGTTTCTGTGTATTTAATAAACTGCATCCAGCACAGTGATGGGCTGGACAGAATCAGGAAGGATCCAGTGAATATCTGTTAGACTTAATGTAAATGCCACCAAGAATTTCAGCTCTTTCATTTCCCAAATGGTATTTTTCAGGTGAATCTTTGTAGTCCCTATTTGTTATTGAGAAGAGCAGTACTGGCTTGTTTACGTCAGCTTGTACAGAGGGAAGCAGCTGAAGTTTCAGAACATGCTGTTATGCTTGCTAAGGATAGCAGAAAAGAGTTGACTCCAGGTAATTCTTTTTTATCACCATTATCTCCAGCTTAAATGATTATTTTAATCTTACGTCTTCCATATAAACATAAGGGTTTTTTTGTTTGTTTGTTTTTTCTTTTTATTAACATATAATGTATTTGTTTCAGTGGTACAGGTCTGTGATTCATCAGTCTTACACAATTCACAGCGCTCACCGTAGCACAAAGCCTCCCCAGTGTTTTTAACATGAAATTTAAAAGTTAATATATAATGTCTTAAACCTGCTACAAGAGACAGTTGCTAACAATTACTATCATTCCAACCAGTAATGTTACTGGTTTAGAGCAATGGTTTTCAAACTTAGGCCCCCGAACTAGCAATATCCACCTCACTGAGAACTTGTAAAAAATGCAAATGATTGGGCCCCATCACAAATCTGCTTAACCAGAGATCTGTGAGTGGAGCCCAGCAATCTGTTTACCTATGTTTTATAATCCCTGTTAATGAATTTGAGAGGCTCTCAAATTTTAGAGCAAGTTTTTTCACAACGATCAATTGAAGTTGGATTTAGTCTTTAAGTAATTTACCATATGTGCCTTTCTTCCTCCGAAATCTCATTTAATAAAAAACTTCCCATAGATGAGTCTTCTTCAGGTTAGAGGGTTTTTATGCCTCTTCTTTATTTTAGAGCTGAATTAAAGGATTTCTTATTTTAAAATTATGTGTGTAACCCAAATATGCACACAAATTCAAACAACCTACAAAAATAGTAATGGCAATATCTTACTCTTTTATGTGTATAGTTTCCAAAGTGCTGTCACACTTTTAGAAGGTCTCAGGCTTCACAAAGCTTTCCAGTATCTAAAGCACACAACAATGTGTTTTACTGTCATGCTGTCCTCCTTAAATTAGTTCATTATTATATTAAAACTTTAACTCTGGCTTGAGTTAATCAACATTGCTAAACTAGTATAGTAGTCATCAAAAAGGTTGCAGAACTCATTTGAGAACAATTGATGACTTACTTTAACCAGAGAAATTTTAATCTTTTAATCATGTGTGATATTCCACCCAAGTGACCTTTACTTTATATTCACCACTGAAATTATCTGCATCTTTTGCTTTGGCTTTGATTGTGTAAACATGCTGGTATATGTTCCTAGAATTCTTGAATTAGCTATGTGAGTAAAATACAGTAAAGAACTTGTTATATAATTCCCTTTTTTAAATTTTATAATTTTTCAAACTAAAGGAAAAGTTAGAAGTAATGTGCAGTGAACACATATATTCACCTACTTAGTATCTTTATGGCACTCATTTTATATATCTTCCTCTCTTTCCATATATACAAGATGCATACCTTTGCCAAACCATCTGAAAGCAGGCTGCAGACATCATGACAACTCACCCCTAATACATAATATTCTCCTGCACGACCACGCATCATTTCCACACTTAATAAAATCAACACTGATTTAGTAGCAATCATAAAATGCGCAGTTCTCACACAAATTTCCCTAGTTATCCAAAAAATATCCTTTATGACTCCTTCTACCCTCCCTTACCACCACCCAAATATAGGATCCAGCCGTGACTCACACATTACAGTGGTTGTTCTGTCTCTTTCGACTTCTAATCGGAAACATTCCTGCTGCCTCCTTCTGATCTTTTTTTTTTAATTGAAGTATAGTTGACACACAGTGTTAATTAGTTTCAGGTGTACAGCATCATGATTCAACACATTTTTATGTTATGCTATGCTCACCACAAGTGTAGCTCTCATCTGTCACCATACCATGCTATTATAATACCACTGACATATTCCCTGTGCTGTACCTTTTATCCCAGTGATGCCTCCTTCTGGTCTTTAAAAGATAATTTCTCTTTCAAAATAGTGTAATAATAGCATAATCTTTAGAATCTAAATGCTTTCAGAGGGCGCCTGGGTGGCTCAGTTGGTTAAGCGACTGCCTTCGGCTCAGGTCATGATCCTGGAGTCCCGGGATCGAGTCCCGCATCGGGCTTCCTGCTCAGCAGGGAGTCTGCTTCTCCCTCTGACCCTCTTCCCTTTCGTGCTCTCCCTCTCTCTCTCATTCTCTCTCTCAAATAAACAAATAAAATCTTTTAAAAAAAAAATGCTTTCAGAAATGCTAAGTAAGTTAAATTTTCAAGAGAAAATTTATTTGTTCTTTTGGCATTTCCGGAATTAGAGGAAGTAGATGCTAGACCAAGGCTTATGTTTCTCCTTTGAGGTGCTTTATTACTTTGCAATGAGAATATTTGCATGTAGTATTTTAATAACTTTTGAATATGTGTGCTTCTCATATGGCAGTTTTGTTTTCTGTATTACTTAGATCATCGATTTTCTTCTTGTCAGATGCTAACATCAGAGAAGTGGGCCTTGAAGGGGCATTATTGACCTTACTAGATAAAGAGACAGATCAGAAGTTATGCCATGATATCAAAGAGACTTTAAATCATATGCTTACATCTATGGCAGTGGATAAGCTCTCCTTCTGGTTAAAGCTTTGTAAAGATGTACTTGCTGCATCAGCTGGTAAGTATCAGTGGTTACCATTTGAAATAAAATTGAAAGTGAAAACGTTATATATAAAATTGCTGGTGACAATTCATTTTGTCTGAGTATTTGGATTGTAATTGCTTATTGCTTTTTTCAAATGAAGATTTTAGTGTTTACATCTAACACTTAAGCCTGTGGGGGTTTTTTATTCTTCTGATTATCTTTTATGACTTCCCTGTATAAAACAAACTAAAAAGTAGTTATTTATACTATAAAAGTGATGTCATGACTTTGAGTAGCTCCATCATTTGTTTTCATACTTATAATTTTTTTTAAGATTTTATTTATTTGGGCGCCTGGGTGGCTCAGTTGGTTAAGCGACTGCCTTCGGCTCAGGTCATGATCCTGGAGTCCCAGGATCGAGTCCCGCATCGGGCTTCCTGCTCAGCAGGGAGTCTGCTTCTCCCTCTGACCCTCTTCCCTTTCGTGCTCTCTGTCTCTCATTCTCTCTCTCTCAAATAAATAAATAAAATCTTTAAAAAAAAAAAAGATTTTATTTATTTGACAGAGAGAGCATAAGCGGGGGAGCCGCAGAGGGAGAGGGAGCCCAATGTGGGCTCGATCCCAGGACCCTGAGATCATGACCTGAGCCAAAGGCAGACGCTTACCAACTGAGCTACCCAGATGCCCCCATACATACAATATTTGAAGGACTGCATCAAATCAGCTTAATAGAAAAATCATCAAAAGTTGCAACATTTTTTTTTTCCTAAAGATTTTATTTATTTATTTGAGAGAGAGAATGAGATAGAGAGCATGAGAGGGGAGAGGGTCAGAGGGAGAAGCAGACTCCCCGCTGAGCAGGGAGCCTGATGCGGGACTCGATCCCAGGACTCCAGGATCATGACCTGAGCCAAAGGCAGTCGCTTAACCAACTGAGCCACCCAGGCACCCAGAAGTTGCAACATTTTGAGCAGGCAAGTTTCAATGCACTCAATAATGTTGATTTCAAACAGGGTTAGAAAACAATGTTATTTCCCTATTGTCTTTGTCAGTATAAGTGTTAGTGAGAACATATATTACAGTCTCAAATTTATCTTTGGAGTAAGAGAGAAAATAAATGAGATGAAGAAAGGAGACAAATCAGTTCTGTTCCAGGTACTATACATACTTTATCTGATTTAGTCATTTAACCATCCAGTGAGTAGGCAGTATTATTCCATTTTACACAAGAGAAAACAAGACTTGGAAAGGTTAAGTAATTTGCCCAAAAACACACACAAATAGATTCAAACCTTTCCTTCCATGACTTTAAAATTCAGCTTCGGGCGCCTGGGTGGCTCAGTCGGTTAAGCAGCTGCCTTCGGCTCAGGTCATGATCTCAGGGTCCTGGGATCGAGCCCCACATCAGGCTCCTTGCTCCATGGGGAGCCTGCTTCTCTCCCTCTCCCACTCCCCTGCCTGTGTTCCCTCTCCTGCTGTGTCTCTCTCTGTCAGATAAATAAATAAAATCTTTTTAAAAAAATAAAATTCAGCTTCCAGGATACCTGGGTGTTCAGTCAGTTAAGTGTGCCACTCTTGATTTCCGCTCAAGTCATGATCTTAGGGTTGTGAGATCGAGCCCCACATATAGCTCTGTGCTCAGCACAGTTTGTCCCTCTCCCTCTGCTCCTCCCCGCTCATTCTCTCCTTCTCAAATAAATAAATAAAATCTTTAAAATAAAATAATAAAATCCAGCTTTGTATTTCAGTAGCTCTTAAACTCAGTTACTCAAGCCTTATAATTTAATGTGTTTAAATTATGTGAAAGGAAGAAAGATATTTAAAAAAAATGTTTTTTTTTACATTCTCCACTATCTACCTTGGTCCTGTTCCCTTCCAATGATTTATATCTGCTCTTTCAACTACTGTGCTCTACATGTTTTCCTTTGTTAAAAGGCTCTCTTCTATCCCCACTACTTGAGAACTTACAAGGACTTCTCCTTTGAAAGAAAATCTATATGTGTCTTGATAGACAGGTTGATTACACTTTTCTGATATCTCACCTATTTTTTTCACCTATTTTTTTTTTAATTTTTTATTCATACTCCTTGAGCTTACTTGCTCAATTTTACTTCATCATTTGTTCTTTATCCTTTGTAGTTTGTTTGAATCCCTTCTTAGGAAAACATGCATTTCAGTCTTTGGCTTATTATTTTAGTCTTAAGACAAGACTTTGCATAATTTTGTGACATCTTTGCTTTCATAACACATTCAAAATATGTTGACATGCAAGATAATTTAAGGAAAAAAATGTTGCTTTTTTTTATAGCATTAATTCCATTTTAAGTCAAGTTAAACAGAGTTAATAAGTTAACAGTTAATATAAAGAGGAAATGGGGCACCTGGACAGCTCAATGTGTTGAGCACCCAGCTCTTGATTGCAGTTCAGGTCATGATCTCAGAGTCCTGAGATCCAGCCTTGAATTGAGCTCTGTGCTGCTGACCGAGCATGTAGCCTGCTTGGGATTCTCTTTCTCCCTCCCCCGTGCTCGCGCGCACACTCTCGCTCTCTGTCTAAAAAAATAATAATGATGATTCACTCCTCACTGGCTCTGGCCATTATGACAATATGAGACTATAAATGACAGCAATGGATCTGTCCTAAGAAAAATATTTTCAGACATTTTCAGTGGGTTCGGGAACCTTAAATCTGTTCAAGACCCTAGTGTTATAACAGCCTCCCTAGTGCAATCCACCGTGCTCCATAGCAGAGCATGTTGAGCTTCCTTAAGCATAACTGTCTACGTAGTGGGGACTGATAATTATCCTAGTATTTAGTATCCTGTCTATTATGTCATGTTTGGTTTTTGACTTTGAATATAATCGAACAACTCTGTCATTTTGACCTGGAACATTTTTAGAGCATTTCTTTAGATACCAGTGTTGTCTGTAATTATTAGATGTGATCATTTTACATTTTACGTGATTACATTACATTTTTAAAGATGTATGATTGGTCAGCAACAGTTCTAGTATAAATTTGAAGTCATTTGTGTTCCTTTATAAATGTATCATACATTTGATTGTAATTACATGTATTCTCCCTTGATAAAAGATTTTACAGCTGTAACTTGTGTGGATACAATGCAAGAAGAGGAAGGAGATAAAGGGGATGATGCCTCAGTTCTGACCACCAGAAATGATGATAAATCATATCCATGTACCAATCCCCATTGGGCTACTAGAGTCTTTGCTGCCGAGTGTGTCTGTAGGATAATTAACCAGTGTGAGAATGCACACAGCGCACATTTTGACATTGCTTTAGCACAAGAAATGAAAAAAAGGGATTCAAGAAGTAAGTGGCATAAAGATGAAAAGATCAAAGGATATACATAGAAATGTTGTCTGCTTATGTTTTTAATATTAATTTAAGAGGTAAAACTAGAAAGTAGTTTGTATTCTTCCAAATCAGTTATGAATTTGACTATAATATTTGTGTAAGCTATAAAGCTATAAAACATTAGTTTTAATGTTTATACACATTTTCAATGATTTAGCTTCTTAAATTGTCATTCACTTTTGTTTAATGGACTTGTGCATGACTTAAGTTGATAGAAAATAAGCATGTTCTTGGAAAGTAGTACATGCGTTAGCTTACCCCCAAAATTTATTTTCTGAATTACAACTTACAGTATTTTTGCTTATCGATTATTTTGGTTTCATAAATATTACCCAGAAAACATTAGAGCCTATCACAATGTAACGTAAACCTGCTTACAAGGCCACTTTGACCTTTTATTCAATTTTATTGTTTGTACCTAAAGGGGTATGTGTACATACTACAGCTTGAATTCACTTAAGCACATTGTGTTCAAAGACACAGTGCACATATCTAAATGCCATAGATATATTTTTTACCAGACAAAAGAATTATATAACAAAATATTGCTATTGCCAGTGTGGGAGTATGAATTAGGTATCTCTTTTTTAGTGATTTTTCAAGCAAGTGTTTATTGAGTCTCTTTATTTGTAATGAGCACTATTCTAGATACTGATAGGTATAAAATTAGTATATCATAGATGCTTACTGATTCCTTTCTTGCCAATTAAAATTGTAATTGGCACTTACTAAGTGAGTTGGTTTCTTCATTGTGACCTATAACATTCTTATTAAAATTAGTCCCAGGTATATTTTGAGTAAAGGTTAGTTATACCCCTGAACATTTTATTGTTGGAATATTGTTAAGTGATTGTCCTATGTCTCTCCCCAGTAGAATTATTATGCCAAAGAATGTATTGTAGGCATGAAAAGAATTCTCATTTATAATTTTATAGCTACAAATATTTTTTATATTCCTATCATTTGTATATGTGTTAAGACATACAGAAATAACATAATCTAGTCCATATAAAGAACCACATAAAACTATGTTTTTCAAAAGGAACATTTAAGTCTTTCAGCTTCAACTTGACATAATTACTGTTAATGCTATTTAATTACTGCCTAATTCATCAATACCCAAAGTTTCCTAAATACCTTCTAATGTGCTTTCATCAGAAAGTCTGAAAAAAGGTTGTTTTTGAAGGTACTGTTAGCACTCTTAAAGGATGCTGATTTTGTCTTTGATTTTTGAATAGCTGCATAATTGTTTGCCTTGGGACTTTTTTGTATGTGATTATTTGCAGTAGTGCAGCAAATCCAGCTTTAAAGTCTGTATTTAACAAACAGTACAGTGAAACAGTAAATCAAATCAGAGGTATTTAAAAGAAAATCTAGAAAAGTCTGAAATTATAAGGAGGAGAAATGATCATTTAACGTAAATCTTAGTTCCAACGTATGCTTTTTCTTGATAAGATGTTTTTAATCTTGTAGATGACTTTTTGGTGCTACATCTTGCCGACTTAATTCGCATGGCCTTTATGGCTGCCACGGATCACAGTGACCAGCTCCGTCTTTCTGGCCTTGAAACACTGTTAGTTGTTATTCGGCGATTTGCAGCTATTCCAGAACCGGAGTTTCCAGGTCATGTGATTCTGGAACAGTATCAAGCCAATGTAAGCACTTTCTGTTCAAGAGTTTTTGAAACTAATGGGCATGTCACTTTTCAATATGTAAATGAGTATATGTCTCTGTTAATATATCACCAGGATAATCATTATATAGAAGCATATGTTTGAAGAAGAAATCTTCAAGTAAAAGCGAAGTGGTACATAAAACAGGTCTTTTGTAAGGTTACAGTTTAATAATTAAAAAACCTTCTTGGTAATTTGGGGGGAATAAAGGACATTGCTAATTAAAATCTTTACAAAATATCTGAATATTCTTAAGATAACACTAAATCATTACTAAATATTCCATTTAGGCTGCATGCATATTTTATCTTAAAATCATCACTCCTGGAATAAATGTAACCTCCTTTTTTTCCTCTCAGCTTAGAAAAGAATTCAGGCTCCTATTACTGGTTCTGTAATCTTTTTAACTGATGTTTCACTGGTGCATTGAACAATGTAGGAAGAACAAGGAAGATAACAGAATGTTCGCATATTCCATCACACACATCCCATCATTCATCCTTCCCTACCTCTCCTTGTGATTCAGAGGCAGCTTCTGTGGGGTAGCAGTTAGGGAGACAGGAGCAATTCACCAGTTAGCTGTCTCCATCAAATCTTCCCAGCAGGAAATGCCTATATGTGCTCTGAGAGAAAGCAAAAGGAAGGGATAGGAGTTACATAGAACTACCATATTAGAATGAAATGTTACAATTCAACTTAAGGGGAGCTCTCATATTTTTAGCCCTCGTAAAATTGCAAATGAGGGGTACCTGGCTGGCTCAGTGGGTAGAGCATGGGACTCTGATCTCAGGATCATGAGTTCAAATCCCACATTGGGCATAGAACTTGCTTTAAAAAAAATTGCAAATGATAGAAATAAAATTACAGCTCCCTTAAGGTGAAAAGGAAAGTTTTTTTCACGAATCCCAGTTGGTTCTGCTTTCTTCTACACTGGCTTTATTTTCGAGTTTGCTCTCTGCAAGTGTTATCAAGATGCCTTTCTTAGCACCCAGTCTTTTTTTTTTTTTTTAAAGATTTTATTTATTTATTTGAGAGAGAGAGAGCACGAGAGGGAAGAGGGTCAGAGGGAGAAGCAGACTCCCCGCTGAGCAGGAAGCCCGATGTGGGACTCGATCCCAGGACTCCAGGATCATGACCCGAGCCGAAGGCAGTCACTTAACCAACTGAGCCACCCAGGCGCCCCTCTTAGCACCCAGTCTTAAAAAGAGACGGTGCTTCTGTCCCAGTATTCCCAGCAGACATCTTCAGAAGACCTTTTATAACCCCCCGCTTGGGTCCCTGGAGTCAAGCAGTGCTCTCAGCTCTGTAGCAACAACATGGGTAAAGAGTGGGTAAGAGAGAAGGTTCCCCAAAGGAAAATTGAGGTGCTCTTATCTAAAAGAAGATATACTGGACAGGCAGAAACAATAGGTGTCTGGAATACCTATTATAAACAGAAATTTTAAAATAATATTAAAAAGAGAGTTTGTGCTGTCTTACTTATTGATGCTTGATATTTCATGTCATTTGTTGCCAGGTAGGAGCGGCACTTAGGCCAGCCTTCACTTCGGAGACGCCACCTGATGTCACTGCCAAAGCATGTCAGGTAAATGGTTAAAAAGACAAAGTTTGGATGCCCCTGGGTCGTTCAGTCGGTTAAGCATCTGCCTTCGGCTCAGGTCATGATCCCAGGACCGAGTCCAGCGTCGGGCTCCCTGCTCCACAGGGAGTCTGCTTCTCCCTCTGCCCCTCCTCCCACTTGTTCTCTCAATCTCTCTCTTTCTCAAATAAATAAAATCTTTATAAATAAATAGACAAAGTTTAAGAAGTAAAACCCTCTCTTAGGAGGCAGTTATCCAGTTAGTATTTGATACCAAAGGTTCTACATTATAGTTGTCTAACCATTAATCTCAGCTGTTCCTTTTCCTTTACTTTTTTTTTTTAAGATTTTATTTATTTATTTGACAGAGACACAAGAGAGAGGGAACACAACCAAGTGGAAGAGGGAGAAGCAGGCTTCCCGCTGAGCAGAGAGCCCTATGTGGGGCTCGATCCCAGGACCCTGGGATCATGACTTGAGCCGAAGGCAGATGCTTAATGACTGAGCCACCCAGGCGCCCCCTTTCCCTTTACTTTTTAAATTTAGAGAATTTCCCCTTCCTTTCATGTAACTACATGGTAATCCACTGTTGGATATGTTACAATTTATTTAACCAGTGATGGATGTATGGGTTTTTCATCTTCTGCTATTACATACATTGCTGCAGTAAATGACTTTCCACACAGGTCACTTTACTGGGTACAAGTGTATCTGTGAGGTAAATTCTGCAAGATTGAATTGCTGGTTTAAAGACTATATTGTTGGGGTTTACCAATTTAAACTCCTCCCAGCATTGTATGCAAATACCTGTTGTCCCACAGTCTTAATACTGTAAGTTGTCAAACTTTTAGGTTTTTGTCTGTATTTTAGACATAGTTTAGATTTATATTAGGATAGTTTTAGATTTATATTTCAAGTGATCCTGAGCATTTTTTCATGTATCTAAGCCATTATAATATATAATTTTTTTGTTTTGTTTTTAAAGATTTTATTTATTTGAGAGAAAAAGAGAGGGCACAAGTGAGCATGAGCGGGGGTGGGGGGGAGCGGAGGCAGAGGGAGAAGCATACTCCACACTTAGTGGTGAGCCCTACTTGGCACTCAATCCCAGGCCCCTGAGATCATGGGGAGCGGAGGCAGAGGGAGAAGCATACTCCATACTTAGTGGTGAGCCCTACGTGGCGCTCAATCCCAGGCCCCTGAGATCATGACCTGAGCCAAAGTCAGAAGCTTAACCCACTGAGCCACACAGATGCCCCTAAGAGCTATTATAATATATAATTTTAAAGTTACTTTGCTAGGAATGATTGTCAGACATTCAATATCCAGCCCTAAATGACCTGCAATAATTAAAAGCAGAAGTGGCTTGAATTGAATTATTTATAAACATAATGGAATAAACTAAATTTAGTCCATTCTTTCAACTTTCTTTTATTCACTTGTATTTAGGATATGTTTGGTACCTTGAATATTCAAAGAACTGTATTAAATGTTGTACCAAGGGCACCTGGGTGGCACAGTTGGTTAAGCATCCAACTCGGTTTTGGCTCCAGCGGTGATCTCAAGTTGTGAGATTGAGCCACACTTCAGCTTCCACACGCAGGACAGAATCTGCTTAAGACTCTCTCTCTCCCTCTCCCCCCTCCCCTTCCCCTCCCATACTCTCTCTTGCTCTCTCTCACTGTCTCTCTCAAATAAATGTGCTGAGTCTCTGACTTATTACCACTTCATTATTTGTGTTCTTGTTTTAAGCCATTAAAATCTTTTGTGAAATGAGACAGGAACTGAATAAATAGATGGAAGAGGAAAAATTAATTTTCTCTAGGAAAAGAGAAATACTATGACATCCAAAAAAACCAGACAGCCTCTGATAATTGAGCAAACTGTTTGCATTGGAGAATTATTAATAATGTTTTGTTTTAAAATACTTTCTGTATCTTTTTTCAAAATAAAATGTTCATTAGGGTTTTAAATATTAAGTTCTTTATCTTTCAACAGTTATACTAATTAACCACACCATCTCTGCGTTTAAAGTAGATGAAATAATCAAGATTGAATTCAAATGTTAATCCAAACATTTATGAAAGTGGTACCTTTCATGGCTTTATTTCTCCATATTAATAACATCTGAAACTCTTTGCTTTATCTACTTATTAACACTGGTTTCCTTGCTTCAACCTTAGACTTCGTTCCCTTTTGAAATGCTGGCCTTTGACTGGCATAATCAGCAGCATCCATTGGGTTTCCTGATAGCAAGATGATTTCAGTGTGTTAGATTCCTGAGATATGGGCAGCTCTGCTGAACTCACAAAGGAGGTATCTATAATTTTTAAATGTAACTTTTGATTTTCTTAAAAACCAGGTTTGCAGTGCCTGGATAGCAAGTGGAGTTGTAAGTGACCTTAATGATCTCCGAAGAGTTCATCAGTTGCTTGTTTCATCATTAACAAAAATACAGGCTGGAAAAGAGGCTCTGAGTCACTTATATAATGAAAGTGCCTCTACCATGGAAATATTAGCTGTGCTGAAAGCCTGGGCAGAGGTTAGTGCTTCTCCATTTATAACTGGAATTTTAGAAGTTGTTAATAAACACCATAGGCTATAAACTGAAATTAACTATTTAAAATACAACTAAGTCCCTTTTTAAGGTTAACAAAAGACTTTCAACATGAGATTTCTTTATATGCTCATTGATTTCTTTTTTTTTTAACCAAGCATTCTATAAGATTTACTGTCTGTAATCTGCTATTTTAAGAAGGGGCAGCCATGAGCCAGAGAGACAAAACAACCAGAAATCAACTGTTATTGAAATCTAAATTTTGGAAATATGGGTCTGTTTATATGTTCTATCAATTCTGTACACATACTTGAGTGTTATTTTAGCGTTAATAGAATGGTTTTTGAATATTAAATAATCATTTTCTTTTCCAAAATTAATGAAATATTATAGGGAAATTATTAACTTTACTTTTCTAATCAGGAAGAAATATATAATTTTTAAATTTACTTTGAGAATGTGTGAGCATATATGAAAGTAGATAGAATAATATAATGCACTCATATATACCCACTCTTGGGGCTTCAACAATTCCCACACTTAGCCACCCTAATTTCAATATATCATTTTAATGAAGGTATATAGTCTCAGATTGCAACTGAGAGAATTAACCAATATGTAAGAAAGCATTTCCTCCATTAAACAAATTAAAACCTGAAGATTGGAGTCTATTTTTGTCATTATTTAGGTTTGACAAACCTTGGTTAGGAAGTAGTTCTGCCTAGATTTAGTAAGCTGGAACTAATGATCTTTAATAGTCAACTTTGTATGCTTTTAAACATTTGATTTTAGTAGAGCAAACAGAAATTTTCTAATCTCTGTAACCTATTTTATAAATAATTCTCTACTTATATAGTGTACTTAGAATAATTTGAATCTCTGGGCTCTTGCTTAAGCCCATTACCTCCCATTTTCCCTTCAGTAAAAATAATGACTGACCAACAGGTTGTGTATAATTGAGGTCCATAATCTGCTATCTAAAAATTCTTGGAGCCAGATTTATTTTGAAATCAGAATTTGGGGAAATTTTTATTTTTTTAAAGATTTTATTTTATTTATTTGAGAGAGAGAGTGAAAGAGAGGGCACAAGAGGGTGTAGGGTCAGAGGGAGAAGCAGACTCCCTGCTGAGCAGGGAGCCCGATGCGGGACTCGATCCCGGGACTCCAGGATCATGACCTGAGCCGAAGGCAGTCGCTTAACCAACTGAGCCACCCAGGCGCCCCCTAGAATTTGGGGAAATTTTTAAAGTAAAGTAATACAGTGCATATTTCCTCCAGGAAATTGTGGCAATACCGTAGAATCTATAATTAAGCACATTAATATATCTGTAATAAAATGTTTGAATATTCACACTATGTCGAATAGAGACTATAAATGGCCTCCTAAATTCAGTCAAGTTTGCCACCAGATTATAATTACTTTTCAGTGCTTTTTGGGTTTTAGAGTAGTAGATAGAGGGGTAGTACATGCTATATCCTGTGTTGAATACTTCCACATACGATAGTCATATAAACAGTCCATGTTCAATCTATTTATGTAAACTTTTTGTAGTGATTTGGTAGTAACTTGGAAAGAAAATATTTTCCGTATTTCAACTTACTGCAGTTCAGAAATGGGCGCCTGAAGCCATATGTTGTGGTGAATTATAGGGCTATAACTAGGCTTAATGAGAAGAATGTTGTGATCATTTAGTTATAGCTGTCAGGGTATAAAAGTGCAGATTGGGGGGCGCCTGGGTGGCTCAGTCGTTAGCATCTGCCTTTGGCTCAGGTCATGATCCCAGGGTCCTGGGATCTAGCCCCACATCAAGCTCCCTGCTCTGCGGGAAGCCTGCTTCTCCCTCTCCCATTCCCCCTGCTTGTGTTCCCTCTCTCTCTGTGTCTCTCTCTGTCAAATAAATAAAATCTTTAAAAAAAAAAAAGTGCAGAACAGTAACATATTTGTCAAGTATTTGCTATCCATAATGCATCTCATTGAAGGGAATATTTCTGGATCTTTCTACCCCAGTTTGTACGTGTGGTTACATGTATATACCTTCTTGGTATCAGAGTGCATTTGAAGTCCAGTATGCTCAGAGGTAAGGTCTGTCTCCTTGGCGAGATAAAAAATATAGCACCTTATTAATGGGTACAAGATCTTCCTATTTACAAATTAACCCTGTAACAGGTCTACGTAATTGCTGTAGAAAGACATAAAAGCCACAGAGAACCTTTGAAGACTACCACCTGTTCAGAAGAGAGTGTCAGAAATGGGTCGTATTCGTCAGATGGACTGCTTGACTTAGTCCACACAGACCTGGGCACATTGAGTAGGCTCTGGCTTGCTGCGCTTCAGGATTTTGCTCTCTTAACGTTGCCTGCAGAATTTGCCTCCCAACTTCCTGTTGAAGGTAAGGGGTTTGTCAAATATGTACATAATTCCTAGAGTGACAATCAGTAACTTTTCAAAATTTATCCTTTAGCAAGTAATGTTTAGCTGAAACATTTTCCCCGTAGTAATTTCCATTTATAGAATAAGGATGTGAGAATTGTTCAGGGTAGATACCCTGAAGTTGACCTGCTAGGTAATAAGGCATGCACACCTTACCTCACAAGATACTGCCAAATTGCTTTCCAAGCAGTTGTAAAAACTTATATGCCCAACATATAACAATACGTTTCTGTTTCACTAGATCTTCTACTATTGTATGTTGTCATACTTAATAAATTCTGTCCATTAGATGGATATGAAATAGTTTTTCATTGTTTTATTTTGTTATTTAGTTGACTGAAAACCTTTTTTCATAGGTTTATGGGCTAAGTTTCTTCTTCCATCAATCGTCTAGTCATAATCCTTGACCATTTTCTACTTGGTATTTGTCATGATTTTACTGATTTGTTAATCCTTTATCTAATTTTAGTATTCTTTTGTGATTGCATGTCTTCCAGGTCTATAGCTTATTCTTTTATCTCTCTAAAATTAGCGTAGTCAGTCGTTTATGGTTTGTGGTTTTGTGTAATACCTGATAAATTTTTTTTTTTAATTTAAGATTATAAAGACCTAGAAGCATTACAGTTTTGTACTTTACAATTTGGGTTTTAGTGCAGCTAGATTTTGTGTGTGTGGAATGGGATAGGCATCTAGTTTTGTAGTCAGTTATTAATCTGCATTTTATGGATTGGGTATTTGGTGGCCACTTTTATTCTTGATGTTATTCCAGATGCCTTTTTTTTTTTTCTCTTTGATACGAATTTCAGGTCAGCCTGCCAACTTCTATTAGAATTTTAACTGGAATTATACACAGAGAGATAGGAGTGTTTATTGTACTTTTCAGTAGCATCAAAATGGAAATAAACTGATTTATTGGCATAGTGTGTCAGCTACTAGTGAATGACAGATATAAATCAACATAAGTAAATCTCAAAAACATAAAATTAGGTGAAAAAAACACAAGTTCAAAGAAGTTACATACAAGATGGTGCCTGTTAAGTAAAGTTAAACACAAAATAAGAGCACATATTATTTATAACTACAAACATCTGTTGTGAAACATCTTTTATGAATATAGACATCTATTGTGGGAGTGAGTCACACTGACTTGAGGAAAGTGGTTATAGAATGAGGGATAAGAATTAATGATATAACAAAGTTTTATAGAGTTTTTTGGTTTTTTTTAATAAGTAAGTGATTTAAGAAAGGCAAAATGTTAATGTTAATCTTATAAGTAGGTAAATGGGTATCAGTATTTGTTTCAAACACACATCACATAAATTCCTTAAAGGAACTTTTGAGATGATGGGAACGGTCTGTTATCTTTTAACACCGAAGAGAGAAAATGTTGTGGGAGCTAATCTCTTTTATTCCTCCTGAAACTGCTTCTGCTTTTTTTGTAGGTGGTGCTTTCTACACCGCAGAGACTAGTGAAAATGCAAAATTGCATTATTACAACTCCTGGGCACTTATCCTGCATGCTACAGCATTGTGGCTTACCAGCACAGGCTTTGTTGTTGCTGACCCGGATGAAGGAGCATCTCATCTCTCAAGACCTGTAACACCAACTTCCATGTGTCAGGGTTCATCATCTGGGGCTACGGTAAAGTCCCCTGAGGATGTCTGCACTGATAGATTCCATCTTATTTTAGGTCAGTAAAAGAGCTAACAAGCTTCCAATCCTACAGAATTTTTCTTGAATTGTGCCTTACTGCCTATCAGCTCTTGGTGGTTATTATCTCATCTTTGTTAGGTGTTAGTGATAAACTTGATATAACTGAGTAAACTTGTATACATTTTATAAAATTGCAGATTTCATTAAGTCTGGAATCCCATTACAAGCTGGCTTCAGCATCATGTTGAATGAATTACAGAAATTATAAAACAATCCTAGTTTTTTCCACACAATTTTTAAAAGATTCATGTGGTGTCTATAAATTTTTTAAATTTCTTTCCTCTATATTAAAAAATACCAATATACTGAGGGGGTCCACCTGCATGCACCGCCCCCAACCTCCTACCTGCGTTCTTAAGGATTGCAAGGTTTAAGAAAGTCTACTCAGGGCGCCTGGGTGGCTCAGTTGGTTAAGCAACTGCCTTCAGCTCAGGTCATGATCCTGGAGTCCCGGGATCGAGTCCCACGTCGGGCTCCCTGCTCGGCAGGGGGTCTGCTTCTCCCTCTGACCGTCTTCCCTCGTGCTCTCTGTCTCTCATTCTCTCTCTCTCAAATAAATAAAATCTTTAAAAAAAAAAAAAAAGAAAGTCTACTCAAAGGTATAAAATTGCAAGCAAATATTTAAGGTCAAAGAGATGACATTTTTAGGTTATGAAGTTTAACCCATTCTTTGGCTTTCCTGGGACTTCATTTTTAAAGGGAAATATCTTTCTAAAATAGAGTTTCTAGAATAAATGAAAGAAATATTTTTCATATTTTACCTAGTTCTTGGAAAACAACCTATTAGATCATTACCTATAAAGAAATTATTAATTAAATGAAATATAAGGGTTACAAAGATGCGTGATTAAATTAAGTAAGGTTTATGGTTCACAGAACTTCTATTATTATTCCTTCTCAGGCCAGACATGACCACAATTTCCTGTATCCTTGGGTATATTAAAATTTTGTTTCCATTTGCCTTGAGACAAGAGCTTTTTAAAAACAAACTTAGAGAATGAAGGATGGCAGTTACTATGGGCATAAGCTATGCAATTTGACTATCTCAGTTCAAATTCTTCGTATACCCCATTGTAACTGACCTTGAGCAAATTAAATAACTTAAGCTCTGTGTGCTCATCTCCTTGTCAGAAAGAGTGTTAATAATACCATGGAGCGTGGGACTCTTGATCTCAGGGTTTTAAGTTCGAGCCCCATGTTGGGTGTAAAGTTTACCTAAAAATAAAAATCTTAAAAAAATAAAAAAGTACTTACTTCCTCAGGTATTGTGAGAATTAAACGAAATGGTATATGTAAAGATGCAGTGCTTGATCCATGATAATCACTCAGTAAGAATAAAGTAAGTAAGAATAAAGTCATGAAACTCTACATGTTGGGGCACCTGGCTAGCTCAGTTGGTAGAGCATGCGACTCTTAATCTTAGGGTCATGAGTTCAAGCTCTGCGTGGGTCCTACTTTAAAAATATTTATTTATTTATTTATTAATTAATTTATTTTTATTCTTAAGATTTTATTTATTTATTTAACAGAGAGAGACAGCAAGAGAGGGAATACAAGCAGGGGGAGTGAAAGAGGGAGAAGCAGGCTTCCCGCCGAGCAGGGAACCCGATGCAGGGCTAGATCCCAGGACCCTGGGATCATGACCTGAGCTGAAGGCAGTCACTTAACCAACTGAGCCACCCAGGTGCCCCTAAAAGACTTGCTTTATTCCTTAATTGTTTAGTCTTAAATTCATTGTGGTTTTTTACTTTACCTTTTTGCTAAGCTTATTTGTATATCTTATCTAAATATAAAATGGATTCCTTAACTTCATAAACTAAGAATCTCAAAGAAGCCTCCTCTTTTTCTGTTTTCTGCAGGGATCAGTGTGGAATTTCTCTGTTCCTTACGCTCAGATGCGACCATGGAAAGCATTACTGCTTGTTTACATGCATTACAGGCCCTTCTGGATGTTCCTTGGCCCAGATCTAAAATTGGCAGTGACCAGGTGATTTCTTATTTTTTTGTTAGGCTTCTGTAGTTTTCAAGGAACAGGAATAAAAACATGTTCAGGTTACTACAGCAAACAGAAAATGAACAGAGAAGTAAAAGAAAACTAAACTGCTGCACGACTTGATCTCTCAGAACTGGAACGCTGTCAGCAACTGTGCAGACCCAGGAGCAGTAATGCCTCTGACTGCCACTTTCTGTCTCTGCTTCTGCCGCACTGATTTCTGCTGCTAACCACTCAGTACCACCTCTTCAGTCAAACTTTCAGCAATGAGGGGAAGGCACTGTATTGAAGTGGCCAGTAGAGTAGCCACTAGTTACATGTAGAATTCCTTGTTTTTCTGCTTCAGTGCACCCTGTTCTTTGTATACATCTGTATCTTCTATTCCATTTCCCCAAAAAAGAATCTACTTGGTTCATATAGTTATGTCTATTACAGAGTATTCCTGTTGGCTGAGTTCTTCTTCCTGGTTTTTAAAGAGATTACTGGCTAGCCTATAGGTGGAGTCAGACACTAATATCTGACCCAGTTGTGACCATGATAATAGGATCACTATGAAAGTATGGCACTTCTTTAACATCTTTCCTAGGAGAAACTATGATTTTCTCTCTAGGTAGACTATAATTTAACCTGTTAACACTTTTGTTTATTAGGTTTAAATTACTAATCAGCGTCTTCCCTGACTGGGATTGTACTTGAATAAATTCTAAACTTTTTGTTCTTGTTTATTCTGTATATTAAAACAAGTACAGTAAGGACAGATTTACTCTATTATTTTCAAAGATGAAAGAAAGCCACCAGAGTAAGCATTAGAAAAGAAAAGCCAAAAAAGAGACTATTTGTCCAGTGTATTTTATTTTTTTAAGATTTTATTTGAGAGAGAAAGTGAGTGAGCACACACAAGTGGGGGGAGGGGCAGAGGGAGAGGGACAATCAGACTCCCCGCTGAGCAGGGAGCCTGATATGGGGCTCGATTCCAGGACCCTGGGAACATGACCTGAGCCCAAGGCAGATGCTTAACTGAGCCCACAGAGGCGCCCCAGTGTATTTTATTCTTTAGAGGGATATCCATTTTATGCTTACTAACTTACCACTTTTTAATGTCTTCCTTCTCCATCAATCTTTGTTATTACTAGAAAACTTCAGTGCAGATCTGGAAGTCTGGATGGCAGTGCTTTTATTCCTTTAGCCAGGTTTCTCACCTTGCTTTGGAAGTTTCCCTTTCCATTTTCCCATTTTAAGGCCTGTGTGAAAACGATCTTTTGTCATGGTGCCATCTCCTGCAAGGTGGGACAAAAACCAATCTGGAGTCAATTTAAAGTGGAACAAGTGTTACCTAACTTTATTGTACATACACCTTTATTTTTTGTGAGCAATTTGTTAATATTCTCTTTTTGAACTTTTTCATGGCATTTAATATTGGTATTTTTAAAAAAGAAGTATGTGATTTCCAATAGTTTCCCCTAAATGTTTTCTATGATAGGACTTGGGCATCGAGTTGTTGAATGTACTACATCGAGTAATTTTGACCCGAGAATCACCTTCTATTCAATTGGCTTCACTTGAAGTGGTAAGACAGATTATCTGTGCAGCTCAGGAACATGTCAAGGAGAAAAGACGAAGTGCAGAAGGTGAATGTTAACCCATAATGCTAAATTAATCATATTACTATAATCACATTAATCAACATTACTTTTTTAAAGTATTCTTACATGTCTTTGTTGTTCTGATAATGTTTTGTGTGTAGTAAAAATGAAACCTCTCTAGGTATGGTTTTAAGTCCTTTTATCCACCTCTACATGTTAGCTTGGATTTTGTTAGTAGCTAAGATATTCCTTGGGAAAATGAGAATTTTAACAAAATCTGGAAGGGGAGAAAAAATCCTTTATACTGGTTAAGTACTTACTTTAGCTATAAGTGTTTACCAATGTACGTGGAAGAACTACAGACAGGTTTTTTTCAAGTTTTCTTTATTTAAGTAATCCCTACACCCAACGTTGGGGCTCGAACTCACAACCCAGAAATCAAGAGTTTTATGCTCCACCTATGGAGGGAGCCAAGTACCCCATAACTCCTATTTTTTAATGACTGATGTTTTGCAAAGTGATTAAATTGCTTGTTTATAAGTCTAATTTGGTATTGATGAGTTTATCATTTAATATTACATTTGACTACATATACCAGAAAACTCAATCTGACAGTGGATTTAAAACACAAGGACTTGTTCTGTCATCATCTAAAAGAAGTCCCAGAGGCAGGCAGTCCTGAACAGGCATGGCAGTTTCTTAAAAAACATTAGGGACCTTGGTTCATATCTTTCTGCCCGCCATTATCGATGCTTAAGAGTACAAGGTAGGCACTGGAGCTGGACCTATCAGGTTCACATTCTTTTTTTTTTCTTTTTTTAAGATTTTATTTATTTGAGAGAGAGTGAGCACGGAGGTTAGCAGCAGAGGGAGAAGGAGAAGCAGGAGCGCAGGGAGCCCGATGCGGGGCTCAATCCCAGGACCCTGCGATCATGACCTGAGCCAAAGGCAGACGCCCAACCGAGCCATCCAGGCTCCCCTCAGGTTCAGATTCTTAACAGCAAGGTGTTAACCAGACAATATTTTAAAGCTGAGAGGGTTACCAAGGATTTCTTTTGATCTACTGCAATAGGTGGTCATAATAAAGACAATTCCTTTCACCTCCGTGACTTTATCTTTCATTCTTTAACACCCAACTTCAGCCATTTATTTAAATGTTTTACCTACAACAGGGGCGCCTGGGTGGCTCAGTCGTCTGCCTTCGGCTCAGGTCATGATCCCAGGGTCCTGGGATCGAGTCCCGCATCGGGCTCCCTGCTCAGTGGGAAGCCTGCTTCTCCCTCTCCCACTCCCCCTGCTTGTGTTCCCTCTCTTGCTGTCTCTCTCTCTGTCAATTAAATAAATAAAATCTTTTAAAAAAAATGTTTTACCTACAACAGAAAGGGACTTAAATTGCCATCTACCCAAACCAAAGCAAACACGAAGTATTTATTCAGCACTGTTCTTTCTGTCTTTTAGTTGATGATGGGGCTGCCGAAAAGGAAACCCTGCCAGAGTTTGGAGAGGGAAAGGACACAGGAGGACTTGTGCCTGGGAAATCTTTGGTTTTTGCAACACTGGAATTGTGTGTATGCATTCTAGTTAGACAGCTTCCAGAACTAAATCCTAAATTGACAGGTAGCCCAGGAGTAAAAGCTACAAAGCCACAGGTGCTATCGGAAGATGGAAGTAGATTGGTGTCAGCTGCGTTAGTCATCCTCTCTGAACTTCCTGCTGTGTGCTCTCCTGAAGGTATGCTGTGGTATTTGACTGCTTTCCTTGACCTGGAAGGAGAGAAAAGGTTGTAGTAAATAAAGGAGATAATGGTTGCCAATCTTTTCTCATTAAACTAATGCTGTCTCAAAGGTTTGGTGGGTAATCTTTTTAATCCTTTAAGATTAACATCACATTTTAGTAATTTGTTTACTGAAAGGGTGAAGGTAAATAGAGAGATACCATGTACTATCAACAGATAATGCTCTTTTTTGGTTGACAGTATTTTTAACGCGTCAGTAGTAGTGATTTAGCTCGAGCATTTTTTGGTATAAAATACCTAATGGACTGTCCCTCTTTTGGTGATGACAGAGTGTGTCATCAGTTTGGAATCAAGTCCATACTTCTAATAGAGCATTTAAGGCTCCAGAGGGCTCTGCTGAGTCACTACCTCCTCCTGATTCCTTCTGTGTGAATCTTTAACCTAGGAACCTTCATGCTTATCCCTATTGTCCATGGTATTACTTGATCTGACGTGGCCCATCCCTTCTCTCCTTTTTAAAATTTTGCCTTTCTGGGGTGCCTGGGTGGCTCAGTCATTGAGCATCTGCCTTCGGCTCAGGTCATGATCCCAGGGTCCTGGGATCAGGCCCCACGGCAGGCTCCCTGCTCCGCGGGGGGCCTTCTCCCTCTCCCTCTCCCACTCCCCCTGCTTGTGATCCCTCTCTCGCTGTGTCTCTCTCTGTCAAATAAATAAATAAAATCTTAAAAAAAAATAAAATTTTGCCTTCCTTTGAAGTTCATATCCAGGGGGTGCCTGGGTGGCTCAAGTCGTTAAGCGTCTGCCTTCGGCTTCAGTCATGATCCCAGAGTCCTGGGATCGAGCCCCACATTGGGCTCTCTGCTCAGTGGAAAGCCTGCTTCTCCCTCTCCCACTCCCCCTGCTTGTGTTCCCTCTCTCGCTGTCTCTGTCAAATAAATAAATAAAATCTTTAAAAAAAAAAAATGAAGTTCATATCCAGGCCTATGTTATCTGTAAATGCTTCCCTAAAAACTCTAGCTCATGAAGAGTTGTTTTTTCATGTGTGCATGCATATATCGGTGCGTATAATGTTGCTTCTATATGTAAATAGGTTTTATGCATCATATAGGGGCATTATCTGTAATTTGTTATTACATATCAAAAATATAAACATATATACAAACAAATATGTCTTGTTTCCAATGAAATACTGTATCCTTTAGGAAGTTTAGTACATAATAAATGCTCCATACTTAATAGATTTCTTACTTGATAAGCATATTTTTGCTTAAACATGTCTTGACCAACATATGTGCTATATTTTAACATGATTTTCAGCTTTGATTTGAATTAAAACCTATATTCCTTATTCTCACATACTGCCTTGCAGCAAGAATGGCAGAAAAAGTGACTAGTAGAAGATTTGGGACAAAAATACACCATGAGAGTTTTGTTCAGTAACCTCTGGGAGCATTAAATTTACCATTTTAGTTTTAGTCTCTCATTTTAAACATAACTGACTTTTCAACTCCTTAGTGGCTATGAAATTTTTAATAATTTATACTGAGTGGATTGCTACAAATTCCTTAGAAAAAAGTTTGATATAAAATAAATTCAAGTAGATAGTAGTAATGGTTGTCCAACATTGTGAATGTACTTAACGCCACTGAATTGTACAGTTTCAAATGGTTAAAATTGTAAATTTCGTGTTGTCTATATTTTATCACACTAAAAAGTAAATAAAAATAAATTCACCATTTGTCAACTACCAAATAAATAAGACAGCAAAAGATACCAAAAATACTGTGACACAATTTAAATAACATTTTCAGTTATAACCAAAATTTAATGCAGTCTTAAAAATCTTAACGCTACCTAAATTATCTTAATGGTTATAATCCTTTATGAAAAATGTCTTAAAAGCTAGAAATTTTTGACATTATCTTACTCATCGATGATTTCTCTTTAGGAACTATATGTATAGACTGAAACATAAAGTGTTTTTAAAAATGTGTCTTACAGGAAGCATCTCAATTCTCCCTACTATATTGTACCTTACAATTGGGGTGCTCAGAGAAACTGCTGTGAAGTTACCTGGGGGCCAGTTATCTTCAACTGTTGCAGCTTCCCTACAGGCTCTGAAAGGAATATTGTCTTCTCCCATGGCCAGAGCAGAAAAGAGTCACACTGCTTGGACTGACCTCCTCCGTAGTGCTTTAACAACAATACTTGACTGTTGGGATCCAGGTAATTGAGGCTGTTTGGAAGCAATTGTTTAGTTTGTTGTAAAAAGCAAGAGGAACATTTTTTTGAGAATAAGCTATTTAATTGTATTTGGCATTCTCACCTAGTGGGGCCCATATTCACTGCATATGTGTTCAGAGAATATATATAAAGTAGATAGAAACATTTATTTTCTCATTTTAGTATCTTTATTCTTTAATACAGTTAAATGACTGGCAGCCTGTATATTAAGTTGACAGAGACCTTCAATTATAATTTTAGTTTACGAATATAGTATGATCCATAACTAGCTGACAGAACCTTTTAATGCACACAGTATATAAAAAAGTACATAAGTTATGCATTAAAAATCTAAAATAAAATTGTTGGGTTTATATCCTCATTCCACCACTTACTAGCTAACTCACTAGCTAAGTTACTCGACTTCTCTGAGCCTTAGTTTTCTCATTAACAAAATAAGGGTATCGTGTTGCAGGAAATTGTTAGAGCAGGAACATAATATATGGAAAGCATATATTGATAGCCAGTATTATGTTCAGTATCCATTAAAATTTGTTTTTCTCTTATTACTGTTCTATAGTTTTCATTTTCAACATAATGTCATAGTGATTGTAAAAAGTCCTTAGACGTATTATAGATTATCCAAGCCTTCTTCTGTTTATAAATGTCACAGTTCACCATATTCTCTTTCATATGGTACAAAGGTTTCAATTGAATTCAGCATTTATTGACCACCTACTTTGTGCCTAAAGTTGAGTCTGGTGGAGTCTGGTATCTATAAATTGTTACATGATTAATATAAAGTACTCCTTGAAGGCAACAGTGATGTCTTAATTATCACCACATTTCTAAATATAGCAAAAGACTGATTAAAAAATGAGAGTAATCCACTCTGTTTGAGTGAATCAGGCAGAGTGTAACAGGTAGGGTTCTCTGGAAGCTCTTGCTGAGATGGTGTTCGGGGAGCAAGAGGTTTATTAAGGAACAACATCTGTGAAGGGAGTAGGGGAAAGTAGTATTGGCAGAAGAGGAAGTCGGACTCCAATGCAAGCCCCCAACAATTGGGAGCTCTGCAGATTGCCCATATGAGTGCCTCACATAGGCCTGTACTTTATCCTCAGATGTGGGCTACCACAGGAAGGATGTGATCTCAGGGCAACTCTAGCTGAGGCCAACCCTAAGGGAGCTAAGCTGACCATACTCCCGCAACTGGGTAGCACTTTCCCCCATGAAGGGGATCTCAGTGGTACAGCTCTATATCTACCACAAGAGGCTTCTCAGAAGAGTCGGTTTCTTATAGAATCAGAAAGCATTTTCCACGTGGACATCATAGAAATGGGTTCTAGGCACATTTCGATTACACACCTGTAGACCTAAATAATATGGTTCATTTGGGGACAGCAAGTAGAATAATGAAAGGGTGTGGGGTTAAAGGAAAAGGCGGAGGGGGTGATGAATAGTGATTATTAAAAAGATGAAGTTGGATGGTACATGGGGCCAGATTATGGAGGGTTTGCATGGTTTGTAATTTGGACTGCTTTTAATAGGCATTTGGAATCACTAAAGGGTTTTAAGAAGGGAAGTGATAGGATTTGCATTTCTGAAGAATCACTGTGACAGCTATAGAAAAAAAAATTCTTGGAGGTAAGATAGTAATGTAAGGATAAAGAGTAAAATGTTAAAAATAAAATCTTAAGCATGTGTATTAACAATTTACTGATAGTTTGGTTTAGGAATTGAAGGAGTACATTGAGCACTCATATAGTGCCATTAACAAATTCCAAAGTGAACATTTTCAGGGGAATGTAATGAGCTGAGTTTGAAATGCCTTTCAGATAATCAAGTGGAGCATAATATGTAGAGGTCTGGAGTTCAAGTAATCCGAGCTAGAGATGATTTTAGACTATGTGTATTGGAGAGTTATCAGTGTAACCTATGGGATGGATAAAATCACCCAAATTGAGTTTATGGAGCAAGATGGAGAAGATGCAGGAGAGAATGCAGTCACAGAAGCCAAAGAAAAGAGTTTTTTTTAATGGTGAGAGCTTGGTCAACAGTGTAAATGGAAGGTAAGGAAAGTAAGGATAGACTCCTGTCGACAAGAAGAAAAGAAAGCTGAAGGAAAGTATAGGGGCCAGGAATTTTTTTAAGATAAGACTCCAGCATGCGGGCACCTGGGTGGCTCGGTTAAGCGACTGCCTTCGGCTCAGGTCATGATCCTGGAGTCCCGGGATCGAGTCCCACATCGGGCTTCCTGCTCAGCAGGGAGTCTGCTTCTCCCTCTGACCCTCTTCCCTCTCGTGCTTTCTATCTCTCATTCTCTCTCTCTCTCAAATAAATAAATAAAATCTTTAAAAAAAAAAAAAGACTCCAGCATGAATCTGTGCTTATGGGGAAAAAGTGGAGATGAGATTGGAGTTGGAAATATTAGGGAGGGAAGCAATGTCCCCTTCTAAGCAGGAAGAAATAAAATTCATAGTACATTTAGAAGGATTAACCTCTGCCAGTGGGAGGGAAGAAAAGGAGGTAGAGATGGGAAGTAATAAGTGTAAGTCTTTATGATGAGAGTTACAAAGAGCTTGCCTCTTCCATCACACACCACAAATATGTTTTTTGTTGTTTATCAGAGAATGAGGTTAGGACAGTGGGGATTTAGACTAGCTACTGAGAGAAATTAAAGCAGGAGCTGATGATCACAGGGAAACCATTTTCTGTGTAACAAATTGCTTGAAAACTTAGCGATTTAAAACAACAAACATTTATTATCTGATAGTTTATGGGTCAGAAATTTGGAGCAGCATACGTGGGTGGTTCTCACTCATGAGGTTACTGTTAAGATGTTGGCCAGGGCTGCAGCTAGAAGATCCATTTCCAAGATGACTCACTCATGGCTGTTGGAAAGAGTCTTCAGTCTCTTGCTGGCTATTAGCAGGAGGCTTTGCTTCCTCACCACAGAGGCCTCTCCGTGGGCCTAAATGCTAAGGGAATCTTGCATTTATGCTAGGGTAAAAGAGGATAGGAAAAAGGGGAGTTTAGGGAGGGGTATGGGGAATAGGGAATTTTAGAAGAAATGGGAAAGAGGAACCCAGGAGAGCTTTATCCTACTGAAAATAAAAAGACATTTTTACTAAACAGACTAGCTGACTATGTTGCAGTTTCAAGTTGTCATGAATGACTGAAAATAACAACTGTTTGGGAAGCAGTATAGCATCATGATTAACAGTATGCTCTCGAATAAAACTATCTGCCTTACTAATTGTGTGACTTGGGCAAATGACTAAATTTCTGTTCCTCATCCATAAAATGGAAGAAATAAGTACCCATCTCATGGTGCTGTTATGTGAATTAAATATTTCATATATAAATAAAGTACTTATAATAATGCTGTCATCATTTTAAATGTTGACCCATGTACCTTTTACTTTAAAATTATCCAAATTATTTTTATAAAATCCCATTCATTATAATATTTTGCTTTCATTACTGTTATTGTTTCATTATTATCTCTCAAGCCTCAGTTAAGATATTAATCTCCTTAAGGCTTTCTCTGACCACCCAGTGTAGCAACTCCTGGGTTGCTTTCTTTTATTTTCTTCTTTTTTTTTTAAACTTCATTTACTTATTTGAGGTACCTGGGTGGCTTAGTCAGTTAGGTGTCTGACTCTTGATCTCTTTAGCTCAGGTCTTGATCTCAAGGTTGTGAGTTCATTTCCCACACTGGGCTCCAATGCTGGGTATGGAGCCTACTTATTAAAAAAAAAAAGGGCGCCTGGGTGGCTCAGTTGGTTAAGCGACTGCCTTCAGCTCAGGTCATGATCTGGAGTCCTGGGATCGAGTCCCACATCGGGCTCCCTGCTCAGCAGGGAGTCTGCTTCTCCCTCTG